ATATGGAGATCGCCTTGACTCCATACTGCCTTTTCGGAGGGATGACCCTTTCCGCCATACAATTGAACCAAGTGCAGGTCCCATGCAGGTCACAAAATATGCAACACAGCAGTTCAGGATGCAACAGTCATTCTTGGATCAAGGGCGCTCAATGTTAGCCTCCCGGCAGTTGGAAATGAATGCTTTTAAAAGGCATAGCTATGCAGAAGGCACCCGCGAGACCTACGCCTCCTCCCGGCAGTACATGAAACAGCGTGTAATGAACAACTTGGAAGAGACTGAATCGCATTACCAGCGAGAACAACATTATTATCAGAGTGAAGGCATGGGACATGATGACCGTGGACACTACGACCGATTTAACTATGGCTTGGCAGATCAACACTCAGATTCTGGATATCCCCCTGAACTTGAGGCACCAGGAAATATAAATGTTTTATCCTCGGATGACCTCAAAAGTGATTCAGAAAAACAGTATAACATAGGAGGTCGCTATGATCCACAAGGCCACAAGAGGCCTGCTGCGGGCCATGCATACGCATGTCAGAGTTCGCCGACTCAGCCCCATCCTCCAGACCAAAAGCAGTTGTTCTCCACTGGAGATCAGGTACGGCAGTCGCAGGACCCCAGCGTGAAGCAGGGGTTGCGGAGCTGGAGGATCAACTCTTATCTCAGCACTTATGAAGATGGAGGAGAGGAAGGCCTGCATCAGCCCATGGGCTCAGATGCTTTTGAAGACTCACATCAACAACCTGACAGCAGACTTTATGGCTCTGAAGGACCAGGTATTCATTCAAACATTAGAGAACGTCCAAATATCCCAACTAAGCCAAACCTTGATTTGCGGCCACGTTTTGGTAAACCCATCATACAAGATAGAAATCAAGTAAAGGATAATACCTCTGATTTGGGTCCCACAAGTACTGACACATTAAAGCCAGCGATTTCAGCGTCATCACTAGCATCTTCAACAGACAACGAGAAAGAGTTGGCAGAACCAAGGGAAATCAGCATTACCAAGCACGAGTCTTTCCGAACTCGAATTAACCCCATGCTTCAGAGGAGCTCAAGATTAAGGTCTTCTTTAATCTTCAGCTCTTCGAAGCTGGAACAACACAACTCATCGCAAGCCAAGTCCGGTGGAGAGTTACAAGAGGAGAAAGAAGAGAGTGAGCCCATTCGATACTCATCAATTGTGGCAGAGATTCTTGAGAAGAGGAGATCTCTGTCAAGAGAGCCCTTCGATTGGAATAAACATAAAAAAGCAGATGAAAAAGATGTTAAACACGCTTCAACCGGAGATCTGACTACGATCCAAGACACCAAAGAAGAGCCCATCAAAGAGAAGGAGAAACCAGACAACCCTAAACCTGAGGAAAACAAAGTTACACAGCCAACAGTGCCTTCAGCGTCTCAGCAAATAACTTCTTCGCTAAACATGAATGATCCAGCAAGCCGACTTCAGTACTTCAAAGATCAGCAAGAAAAGAGGAAGACCTCCAAATTAGAGTTAGATTTGGGTACAAAAAGTCAAGAAGCAGCCATTAAAAAGCCAGAAACCTTGGATACAGCAACCAAAGTTCCAGATGTGCTTTTAACATCAGAGCAGTCCACTGTAAAGGCACAAGAACCAACAGTTTCGCAAACAGATCCTGTACCACATCGCCCGGTGATTGAAACAAAACCAAAACCATCAGAAGTCTCTGTGGACAGACCCTACACCACCAACAAAACTCTAACGGAGAGCATAGCTGATGCACCAAAGAAAGAGCCTGTTAAGGAACCAACTAAATCACTCAAGCCATTCCCTTCACCCAAGTTCTTAAAACCCTTCAAAAGCTCTCAATCTTCTAGTCGGCGGATATCATGTGGTGAGGAGATTCTCACAGATGCAACAGATGCTGAAAAGAGTGAGCTCAAAAAGTCTCGCAGCTTCAGCACATCAGGAATGTCCCGCACGGAGTCCAGAGAAAGCTTGAGCTCCCTTGGAAACTCTGAAAGCAAGGATACAAAGGCCCTGGACTTCCTCAAGAAACAAACGCAGAGATTGAAGGGTATCCTTGGGCCAAAGGGAGATAAGAAGCACTCAGGAGTGTCCAACTCCCAAGAGGACAAATCAATGAAAACAGTCCCAGAGGTGCAAGAGGAGATTTCAGACAAAGGCAAACCCTCTGAATCCATTTCATCTTCAACCGCAGTAGAGAACAAGCCCAGTGCTAAACCGACTACTTCACGCTATCAGTCCTCTACCTCCAATATAATATTCAGCAGCAACCTCAGGGATGATACCAAGGTGATCCTAGAGCAAATCTCAGCAAATAGCCAGAAGACTAGACAGCAGAATGAAGAATCTGGGAAAGGCGACGGGGGTAAAGATGATGTTGCCAATTCACCCTTCCAAAGCCGGAACCGGTTCAGCCGAGCTCCAGTCAACCCACAGGAGAGGGACAATCTGCTGAAGAGAATAGAGAGCATGCGCAAAGAAAAGAAAGTCTACAGTCGTTTCGAGGTACTTTATCGCAGCCGAGAAGAGTGTTGCTGGGAGCGGGGAAGTGTAGAGCAGGCAAACCAATTTCTGATTAAATCAATTGAATGAGATCCTTGTGCAATATTTGTAGTGAACTGTAAACAGTTTTAAGGAATACTCCACATTGTTTTTGGGAAAATAAGCTAATTTTACAACTCCTGTAGAGTTAAACAGTTTAACTATTTTTTTAATTCATTCAGCCTATCTCTGGATCTAGTGAAGCACTTTTAGCTTAGCTTAGCATATATCACTAAATTAGATTAGACCATTAGCATCTCCTCTAAAATTACAACGGAAAATGAAAATTTGCTATTTTCTAGGCTGATATGGCTAGGAACTATACTCTCATTCTGGCGTAATAATTAGTGAATTTTGCTGCCGTACCATGGCTGCAGCAGACGCAATAATATTACACACTGACTAAAAATATTTATGAATAGTCACTGCATAATATATGTAATGGTGCCTGCTGCATAAGCATTTCCCGTTGGTCTACACAATGTACTTACAGAAGAGTTGAGCTTTATATAAGAAAATTATCTAAACTATTTGGTCATTTTTATTTTTATAATTTTTTCTCCAGATAATATAAAACTTATAGATGTATATGAAAAATAGAAGTCCCATCAGGAAAGAGATGAAATCAAATATATACAGTAGCAACAACAAAAACAAGAAAACTGTAGAACTCTTAAATCAAACCTAAACTTTTCTACCCCCTTCTAAGCACCATCCCTCCCATCTCCCACCCCTCCCTATTTCCTGGGGCCTTCAATAAGTATGCAAAAATGAATCAAGACACAAATAAATAAATAATAAACCAATTGAAAAAAAATGAATGAATTAATTAATTAAAGATATAATAAATATATAGTTAAATATAAAAGAAAAAATCAAAAAGTAAATACTAGCAGGTCCTGAAATGAAAGGTTCTCAGTAACAGACAGTATGGGATTCCATGTTTTGTTAAAGGAGCTCAGTGATCCTTTAAAACAATGTCTCAGTTTCTCAAGATAGATGCAACGTAGAACCTCTTTAATCCAGTCTTCTATTGATGGAGGGGACACATGTTTCCTTTTGAGGAGAATTGCACGCCTGGCGAGCAAGGTGGTAAAGACAATGACGCAGCCTGTTGATGTTAATGTAGTTAAGGTTGCAAGATAACCAAAAAGGGTAGTCAGAAGGTCAGGAGTGATAATTGTATTAAGAGCTTGAGAAAGAATTGTAAAAATATTAGGCCAATAGTTTGATCATTTTTAACAGGACCAGACATATGAAGGTAATCAGCCGGTGACTGCTTAGATCTGTTACAGGCACTAGTTGGTCATTTTTGAGATGCTAATGGTCTAATCCGATTCAATTATCTATGCTAAGCTTAGCTAAAAATGCTTTATTCAGACCCAGAGATCATCTGAATGGATTGAAAAATTGAAATACTTAACTGTTTAAACTGTTTAAGGGGGTTATAAAATGAGCCTACTTTTTAAAAATGGATTGTTCCTTTAAGTAAAATAATTTGATGTACCAGATATTATTATGAACTAATTATCCTTTTAATGTGACATGTATATATTTATTGGCCTTTTTGGGTATGTCTTTAAATTTAAATATAATAATAAGATTGAAAAATGGATCAGTTTAATGCTGTATGAGACTTTTATTCATTTGCTGTTTGAAAACTACTATGCAAGTATCAGTTTGTTTGTAGCATCCAATCTATTTATGTTTTAATTTACCATATAAATAAATGAAATAGACTATCACAGAATCTCCTGTACTATTTGTGGGTTGATGGCCGAGGTATTTTTGTTGGTTGTTTCACTTACATATCTGTCACTCTACTTCAACAGATGGGGAATAACCTGGGATAACAAAACATGGAGGAAGGGGCCAATGTTCCTCACAGAGAACTGTAAAGAGAACCTGAAACCGTACTTAAACAATTGTACCAAAACACCCCTAATACTGCTGTGAACAGACACAGAGAAGCAAGTAAGTCGCTTCAGAATAAAAGCGCCTACTATAAACGACTAGTAATTTAATGGTCCATGGATCTCATAAAAACAGCACGAAAATAGCACAACCTCAAATATGAGGAGTCTTGTTGCAGCAGGAGGAATATTCCTTGCTCTGTGCCAATCTGAGCCCACAGATGATTCACTGTGCCCTTATAAGGCATTAGGGGCATACCTCATAACAGTAATAACACAGCATCTCTGCAAAGTACAAATCAGGCCAAAGGAGGGTTCGGACTTCAGGAGGCTTTTCTCAGCTTGGACATTGTTTTTACTTCTATGATGTCTTCATGATGTATATGTACGCCATTTCCAGCCCTGCTAAAGGAAATTAACGTGTTTGGGCAGAAGCTGAGATATGCTACTCTGAAGGCACCAAAACACACCCTCTCTAAAGTACACCACACAAACGCCCCAGGACACGTCATGCTGAAATTATGCTTTGGTGATGACTCTGTGCCAACGGATCACAGGCATAAAGCACAACCAGAGATGGTTGGTAGACAACACTTTTACTTGAAAATAAAAAACTCAACTGAGAAATGACCGGAAAGTATGTAAGGGATGCATGAAAATGAAAGGCCTGTTCATTCATTTTTCCTCTATTAACAGTGTGCTATCAAGAAAGTGGATTGAATGCAGAGAAAGTGGAGTGGAGCTGAATTAATTTTATTATTATACTGGCAATCAGAACTCGCCGTTTAATGGTTTCAAACTACACGTGTACATTTTCAAGAGTAACTGTAAAATATTAGGTTAACAATCAGAAGCTCTCAGGACTGGGCTTTGGCCTGTATTTTATCAATGCAAAATGTAATTAAGACAGATATTACTGAAAACCAAAGAACTCCCAGAACGCCCTGCTGCATGTGTCATAGGACTGATTTATGGAAACCGGAAGTTGTATATCTGATTGAGAAGTATGATGGATTAAACTTTGACAGAGTCACTGATACTGTACGTTCATGTATAAATACAAATCTGGGGGGATTTAGACTTGTTTACAAACCTTTTTTATTGTGTCATAAATTCTGAATAAATGTTTTCAAAACTTTTATATTCTAGGTATGGATATAATTTAATGTTGTATTTGTTGACATAAAACAATAGTGTTACTTCTAACATGTTAAAATATAAGAACAGATTGCAAAACCACTTCTCAAAACATTTGCTGTATAATTAAATTATTTTTCTGTCATGTATTAGGAACTCATCTTCAGTTTGTGTGAGATGTTCATGGTGCTTTTTCTGAGATATCCATGTGCACCTCTGCATTCTGGGTGTGGTTTAACTCGTCCAGCAGCTTGGCCAACTGCTCCAGCTTCTGTTGCTCTGTTGGGACAGACACACAAACACACAGTAAAATATCCGATTACTCTGAGGACAACAGGGTTTCTGTGGGTTTAAAATATCTTAAGGGAAACCTGTTATCTTTTTACAACATGTAAAATAAGTCTCTGATGTCCCTAGAGTGTGTATGTGAAGTTTCATCTCAAAATGTCGCACAAATAATGTTTTATAAACTTTTTAGGTTTGATCTAAATCAGGGGAGCCCAAACTCGGTCCTGGAGGGCCGCTGTCCTGCTTAGTTTATCTCCAAGTTCCTTCAACACACTTGCCTGGAAGTTTTAGTATACCTAGAAAGAGCTTGATTAGCTGGCTCAGGTGTGTTTAATTGGGTGTGGAACTAGATTATGCAGGACCCCTGATCTAAACTGTGCTGTTTTAGTGACGGTTGCTTTAAATTTAAATTAGATTGTGCTCTTTTTAAAAGAGGGCGGAGCTAAAAAATATGTGTGTATCAAGGTGACTAATGGCGGATGGCTACTTCTCACTCAGGGTTGTTTATGCTAATGAGGGAGAGATCATCATTAATGTGCAGGGCGTTCCCCCCTATGATGACACATACAAAGGGAAAATGTCAATAAAAGTGTCTCAAATGTGATTATAAAAAATTGAATTAATTCATTTTTACCAAGTTAAGTCGAGTTTTATTGTCATTCCACTACATGAGTGGATTTACAGAGGAACGAAATGTCGTTTCTTGCAGGACAGCGGTGCTACATAAATTAATTATAAACACAAAACCAAAAATTTTAAAAACCTATGCATAACTAACATATACTATACATACAAGACAGGCTATACAAGTACTTTTACATGAGACTGTACAATGTTGTGCAGGATATTGTGCAAGAGAGATATTAAAGGTGAATATTGTACAAAAGAGGTATTTAAGGTTTAATCTTGTGCAGGAGTTATTTAAGGTCGAAGCAAGCAGTGCAAGATGATTGTGGTACACTTATAGTAAACATTGTTTTCCCTATTGAGTCCTTGTAAGATGGAGTTTAAATAAAGTGTCAAGTGCATAAGAGAGAAGAGTGTTTCTACAGGTGGTTTGTCAAGCCCACTCACCTGTATCAAACACAATTTGAAATGCACAATGTTTCCAAGAGACATGGAGGGGTTAAGAAGAGTGTATTTATAGTGCAAATGTGCAACCTTTTACCATTCGAGGCTGGCGATATTCGCACACTGTTGCCACACAACTATGATTAAACCTCTTATAAAAGCGATTGTTGCATAAAAGGTCCCTTTAAAATGTCTCAACTTGCTATTTTACAAATTCTACAACAACCTGGATAGTTCATGCAAAATTGAAAACTTGCTATTAATTTACTCTCCCTTAGGCAATTTAAATAACCTACTTCAAAAAAAAAATCTATAAATGGGGTATTAAATGACTTTTTCTGAGCCAGATATTTGTTAATGTTTTAATTCTGAACTTGCTTCCTTTTGATAAATTTCTCCAAAAATATGATAATTAACTTGTGTTCTGTCTATACATTCAGGGAACATATTGACACATTGTGTTCCTTTCAAGATATTCGTTAAAGGTCTTTGGAATGCTTTGAAATGCAAATTTTTTATTTAACATTTGACCATCTCAACTGAAACATAAAGAGGAGGTGGGGCATATTGTAGCTCCTCCCCTTTAAAAAAAAAAGGCAATAGTGTTTTGTTTTACCTCAGCTCTGCCAGTGAGAGTGGTTGAGCTCAAGAGCATCAAATGAAAAGCAAATGTGAAGCATCTTGAAAGGGGAGGGGCATGTTAGATACTAGAGAGCATTTGATTGGTCTAGATTTGATGAGAAACTGAAGTATTAATAAAACCGCTCATCCATTTAGGCAGGAGTGACATACTACAAGCATTACATGTGAATGTGGTCACTGTATTGGTGCTTACTAGCTTATGTATATCCTTAAAACTAAATTACTGATAGTAACATCTAAAAAACTTTATTTTCATTTCACTAAACCTTTAAATTTGAATCACCTACTCTAAAATAGTCTTTAAACATCTTACTTCACCTTTATAAAGCCTGCAGAAACCCTGAGATGGTGTTGATTTCATGATTAAGGACTCTCGATGCTGAGAGCTCAGTTTTAGGTCTTGCGGACACTCGAGTATGAGGTTACTTTCCTGTGCAACTCTAGCTTTGTGTTTAGTCATCTAGCCTTTGGATGTTTCTAAAAATGGCTAAATTCAGAATAGCACACTCTTATTATCTGTGTGTACAAATATATATTCTGAACTCATTCACTGCCTTGTTAAACTGCCAAATGAGTCATATTGGAAATATTTTGGACTAATTTGGCTATTTCTGAATGAAATTAGAAACCAGGAAATGTTTCACTAAAACACACAGCACTTTGTTATACACACACTGGTCTTACTGAAGAGGGCCTTAACACGTATGCAATGGAAAAAGAAATGACAATAAAACACACCAGCCTTCAGCAGCTGCTCAGTGCTGTATTCTGCAGACTGTATTTCTGCTGGAAGTCTTTGCGGGGCCTGGAAAAATAAATAAAAGATGATTTAATTTCTTTTTTAAATATTTTCCAAGTGCAGTTTAACCAAGCTTTTATTATAGCCAAACTAACATAAAAAAGACTTCCTTCAGAAGAAAAAAAAACATGAAAATATTCACAGGAGAACTAATAATATTTAATTAATTAAAACGGTTGCTTTTAATGTAATATCTATTCTCACATGCCACTTACAAAGACAGCAGACAAGTTTTTATGCTGCTCCGTCAACTGCTGAAGCTGATTCTCAAACTTCATCCTAAAATCAAATGATTGTGAATTTCAAAAGCAGTATTTCTTAGAAATAAAATGTCATCTTTTATTTTACAATGATTCGTTATTCTAGTACTATCAGTATTGCTTTGAGTTGCTTCACAACGTAAACTAACAGAAACTATTGTTAGGGTTGCACCAGCTGTTCCTAAGTTCTTTCTTAAACTGGAACGTAAACTTAATACTTGGGGCTTAGTAACTACTAGCTGGTTTGTAACTTACTTTCTTACTTCGGTTGCAACATGTTTTTTTTTAATGCAAACTGTAGTTAGTAGGTCGTAAGCTCTCCGTAATGTCATATGTAGTCACATTGAATGACTATATCCAATAAAAAACATTTAAATAATTAAATTGCCTTTAAAAATCTGCAACTATTGCGTTTATAAACTAATCCATTTATAACTGTCCTATAAAAAGTAAATAACAAAATTTGATTTTTATAGTAAATTGCATTACAGTAAGTCACTAAACAGACAACACACATACCTGCATCGCGAGCAGTGAATTCACATGAAATACACATGAGGTTATTAAAACATTAAACTTGATTTTTTTTTATATCCCACACATGAATAAGAAAAGAGCAGGGAGAAAAACGTAAGTCAAAGAACTGATAGATACAATTAACAAAAAGCCCTCTTTGAAGGAAAATTAAACTCTTCTTTCACAAACCAAAAAATGCGAGATTTGGGAGGAAAATAAAGCTTTGAGAAGAGAAAAATCATTTTTCAGTATTATCCTGAGCTCCTCGATTTAAACTAATCTCTCTGTCATCTCTTTTTTATCATTATACAAGGGGGGATGCTGCCGTAAATATTTAGTTGGAACATAGCATTACGTTTAAACTAAGTTCTGTGGTGCAAAAAAATAAATAAAAAATTGACCTAGTGTCCCTTTAAGTCACAACTAGGCTACGATTTAACTTACACACTGCTGGTGCAACCGGCTCCTGATGATTACATATACACTACCTGACAAAAGTCTTGTCGTCGATCTTAGTTGTAAGTAATAATAACTTGACTTCTAGAAGGTAGATTTTCCAAATGAATCATTTGTCGAACTGCATCCTAATCACCACAAATACTGCAGAAGACCTGGAACCTGCATGGAGCCAAGATTCTCACAGGTATCAGTCAACTGTGGTGAAGGAAAAATCATGGTTTGGGGTTACATTCAGTATGGGGGCGTGCAACAGATCTGCTGAGTGGATGGCAACATCAACAGCCTGAGGTATCAAGACATTTGTGCTGCCCATTACATTACAAACCACAGGAGAGGGCAAATTCTCCAGCAGGATAGCGCTCCTTCTCATACTTCAGCCTCCACATCAAAGCTCCTGCAAGCAAAGAAGGTCAAGGTGCTCCAGGATTGGCCAGCCCAGTCACCAGATATGAACATTATTGAGCATGTCTGGGGTAAGATGAAGGAGGAGGCATTGAAGATGAAGCCAAAGAATCTTTATGAACTCTGGGAGTCCTGCAAGAACGCTTTCTTTGCCATTCCAGATGACTTTATTAATCAGTGATTTGAGTCATTGCAGAGATGTATGGATGCAGTCCTCCAAGCTCATGATGGAGTCAGACACAATATTCATTCTGTTTCCACTGCAGCATGACTTTATATTCTATGCTGGACATTATTTCTGTTAAGTGACAAGACTTTTATCTAAGAAAAGCCAGAGCTTACTGTCCTAATTAAATAATTAAAAATCAAGGCATGATCATATTTTATTTCGGTGAAATAAGCGTAATCTAGAGGCTTTTGCCTTTCATGTAAGCCACTTCTTATACCAAATGATCAATAAGAAGTCAAGATATTATTTGTTGTTCCTAAAACTTGAATAGGCGACATGACTTTTGTCAGGTAGTGTAAATATGCTTAGCAGTTTATTAATGCTAATACGCCTACAACAATTCTGTGACATCATCTCATATCTAGCGTCTATGTAATACTAGGAGTCTGCTATTTAAAACAGTGAGTCATCATACCGAATCTTTCTGTGCTTTAATTTTGTCTCCTGGATCTGAAAGCTGTACTGCTTGACCAGTTCCTCTTTCTGATGATTCTGCTCCAGCTGCCTGCAAAGTTACAAATTAGATTTGAAATCAAATACAATCACGACTCTCGGTGCGTTTCGCGAAACATTTTTTAGCAAAACGACAACAAAAGGCTGCTCCCTCTTCATTGTCCTACTTTTAATATGATTTGTGTAAGTTATTGAGTCAATACACACCCTGTAGTAAACTATTTGACCCGAGACCAAAGCTCAATGTGTCTCATTGTGGTTCACATGTGATTCAGATTAAATAACCGTGAGTGTTATTATGATACTGACATATGCTTACCTTTGTGCCTCAAGCTGGAGGTCCTCACATTTGAGCTGCAGAGATCTATTTAACTCTGTAGGGCAGGAAAATGTGTCTTATAACAAATCTTAAATGTAATTAATAGGAAATTTAATGTGTGGGGTTACGTTTTAAGATTGCTATACAGGGTTATATAAAAGCAAATGCCTCAGTTTTTGTTTTATACTACAGTACCTTCCTTCGCATTCAACGTCCCTTCCAACTTTAACGCTTCTGCAGCTACTGTAATATAAAATACAATCGTCATAATCCTCATTTGAATGAATAGGACAGTACAATCCAAACTCATTCATGTTCATTATACACATACAGGCATCCTCCTCCTGCTTCCTAGCACATTTGAGGAGCATTACTTCCGTCACTTCTTCTTCAAGGATTTTCTTGACTGAAATCAATAAAGTGGGGTTAATTTTTGATTTATACTGAGATTGATTGTCTGATTTACAGTTTATAGATGACAACTGACCTTGCTGTAGCTTTCTGAGCTGGGTTATAAGCTCCTCTGGTTTCAGTTCGGCTCGGCTGTCTATAGAAAAATTAAATGTTATAAAGTAAACACAATACAATATCTTCCAGTCACATTGAGTAGACATTGATTGAAGGGTATATAATAATATAATTAATATATTATATATATAATAATAATTGTATTATTTACACACCCTTTACTTATTCCAAACCAGTTTGACATCCTATCTTTTGTACTATAGATCACAAAAGAACACATTTTTGTAAAAAAGCTTAAAAAAAAAAAAAAAAAAAAATATATATATATATATATATATATATATATATATATATATATATAACCATTGACCTCCGTAGTATTTGTTTTTCCTGACTATGGCAATCAATGGTTTTCAGCTTTCTTCAAAACATCTTCTTGTGTGTTTAACAGAAGAAATTAAACATAAAGGTTTATAACCACTTGAGGGTGAGTAAATGGTAACGTTAAGTAAAATTTCCTTTTTTTCGTTGAACATATGGGCTAGGCCCTAAGCCCTGTCCACATATAAACAAAAAAAGCACAAACAGTACCGAAACTCTTTGGTTAAGTACAGTGGGGACATTGTTAACTTACTAATGTAATTTGAATCGGAATGTAATTGATTATAAGTCAATGAGTCATGTCATACCTGGGCTTTTTGATGTCTTAATAATGTCTTCGATGCTGAATGATGACTCTGTACAAAACAATCACACTCGAAAATCAAACTTAACCTGCTCAGCTCACTAGTCAACATCAATACACAAAAACAAAGAAGAAAGCAAAACAACCTACCAAGTAACTCACTCATTACGGCTCCAGGTACTGCTTAAATAGGATAAAAATATCTTGGTAATTACAGTATAATTATGAAAGGTAAATAAATGAATATAGTGATGAGGATGTGGACGTTCAGATGTCAGTTGCTCGTCCTCGCGTACTTTTAAACGACGTTCACTTCACACGGAGTGTTTGCTAAATGTTATACATTCTTGTTGAACTGTGGATATATATTAATAAGTATAATGTGCAGAATTATGTTTTCAACAACTTAAAAATGTATCAATACTGACTTACAAGCCGTTTTTTTGCTCTATAATACTACTAATACGCCTCAAATCGCTTTAACTGCCGTTTGGTTTTAAATTGCTCATTTGGCGCCATCAATTGGTCAATCAAGGTACTGTATGAGGACTTGAATTATGACTTAATATAAAATGATTGGCAAATTACCAAATCATTTTCTTCATTCGCTTTACTACTAGTTTTAATTAAACTAAATTGATACGTTTTGAATGAGACTACTTGTCTGTGTTAACAATTAAAATAATATTTTTTTTTAAATACTCTAATCAACTAGGTTAAAATGTGCAATAATGTTTAAAAAACAGATTTACCCAAACAATGTTTGTGAAAATACACATTTTATTAAAGAAGTATGTATTTGATGTTAAAATAATCAGTTATAATACAAATGATTTCACATTTAACACTTTAAAGTCAGTTCTGTCAGCCACGACAAAAAAATAAAACTTAAGAAATTGGCTGATTCTCAAAACATCTACTCTTGGTATAACAACAATATGAACATGTTCAGTAATAAAACCAGTGAAATTAACAAAACAACAAAAGCTAATCTGTGTTGCCTGTCTGTCTGTTTGAAACACATTCGATAACTATAACTTTGAAAGAAAGAAAATGCACTTCCAAGTGCTGCTGCTAACTTCAAACCAGGTGAATGAAAAGTATTTAACATTTAAACTAATAACAACATAACTTTAGCTTAGCTTATGAATGCATATAAACTAAATTTTCTTCAAATCTTCTAAAAATAGAGTTGACATCTCATTTGCAGAGTTCTGTACCAGAGATAAAGGAATTAATGCTTCAAAATATGAAAAGGAACTGGTATATCTGACCATCTGTTAATGGTCATTGGTAACAAACTTGCATTTGTTAACTAGTAAACAGCAACACGCTCACTCTATATAAATAAATGTTAACTTGTTTTATATATAGTTCTCCAAACAAAATATAATTTTTGAACCCAAATATGCATATACCTTAACTAAATGTAAATGTAATAGCAACTAAACGATTCTGCTAAATAATACTTAAAAAATAGCGCACTTAAAAAAATGAAGCCGTTCTGGGGAACAAAAATTGAAAGGCAAAAACAATTATGTGAAAAAGCTATTAATTAATGTTTGAGGGGTATTTTTCTTACTTTATTATGTTTCTTTATCTACAGTAGCTGGTGCTGATTACCAATCCATCACTTTTTAAAATGATTCTGGTTTAGGAAAACCTTTTTGATTTTGTTTTAATAAATGTTGTTGTTCTCAGAGAAGGGATTATTAAGATTAAGATTTTGTTTGCTTAATCCTGCAACTAAATGAGCAACTTTTTTCTCCAAATTGTAAATGTATGCTTATATCTGGAAAAAATATTGCAATGACAGTTAATGCTACTGAATGCAAATTAACAGGTATATTTACTATTTACACAAACAAACTGGGAACACAGAGGATTTAAGAAGAGAGCAGATGCGAAAGCCTCTAAATGCCATCATAAATCTTCTAAAATTAGCATTTTTCTATTTTTTTTTCTGTGTAGTTTTATACGTTTTACTTTTATGGTGATGAATATGTTATTTTCATTGCCTTTAAAGTCCAATGACAGCATATAAACATAGGAGACTGAGGAAAAAATGCTCATTTAGAGTTTTTTTGCATCTGAACTCTTTATATGTTTCTGTTTACTACAAAACAGCAATGCTATCTAAATATATACACACACACACACTCAAATGTGTGTTTGTATACATTTATATGTATGTGCGCATATATATCGTTTATGCATTACATGTACACACGTTTATGTAGTACACATATACATACCGTATACATGCTTGGGTTGGTGTCATATGTATGCATGTATATACATATATATATGCATACATTTATGACACCATCACATATGCATGTATACATGTACTACTGTATATACATGCAAACTAATAATACATAATCACCATCACTTTGATGGAGAAGGCCAAATTAAGTACACTAATGAAAACTTCACGTAAATTGATCTGATTAAAATCTGAAGTTGTACTATTTGGACTCAATTATTTAGCAAAATGGTTTGCTGCATCCTCTGCCAAATGTCCTTGTATTATTTGTTCTCTCGAAGGCTCAGAATCACCACCAGTACTGCATGTACCCTGCACACTCAGCGTGAGCACCTGCATCTCTGCTCTGCCATTGGCTGTTTCTGAAGTCCCAATAATTCTGCTCCGGCCAATCAGCACGCTGCACAGTGACCACTGGACCACAGTCCTCCAGCATCTGAGACCGCTCAGTTTGACTACTGAACAGCTCCGTGTGGTCAAACTGAGCTGGAATCACGAGCTGCTCAGAGTCTGTAGCCGTCAGTGTGTGGTTGTCCGTGTGAAGGAGTTCCTGCTGTGTGGTGTTGTCGACTGAGTGTGGACAGCCGTAAATGCAAAGCTGAGAACGTGTGTTTTGCTCTTCGATCTCTGGCGCTATGGTGGTCTTGTCTTTTAGAGGTGCTCTCTCGATGACAATGGGGGGTCCAGCCTGCAGAGACAGGCTTACCTTAAACACAGTCTTCTTTACTTCATTAGCACTGGTGTTAGGCATGTCAGGATTTTCGGTCTTTATTTTTTTGTGCATCTCACAAGTTGGAGCTTCATCTTGATCTTCAATGGGACGTTTCTTTGAAGGAGGAGGGATACATTCTGCTGGACGATTGAGAGTTGGAATGGGACCTTTGGGAAGAGAAGAATCTGTCTGTAATAATTATTTTTTTTTGCAAAAAATGCTTTTCTTCGATTTTTTTGTCTCGTTTCTAGCCCAAATATTTAATAATTCTTAAATCAAGACACATTTTCTAGACAAAAAAAAAAAAAAAATCTTGTTTTAAGAAATAATGTCAAAATTATTTTTAAAAAAGTTTTTCCGTAAAACAAGCTAACGATGTACACAAATTAATCTTATGTCACAAAAAAATAAACAAGAATATTTTTAAAGATCTTGATGGTTTGTCAAGATAAAAGTAGTCCAAATAATGGAAAATGTAGCTTTATATTTTTTCTCACAATTTAATTTCCTGGCAAGACTGATTAGTCTTGATTTGGACAAAATTGTTATATCCTTCCTTCCTTCATTTATTTTTATTTGTTCACAGAGAATATTTTTTGAATCATTTTGATTTATTTTTACGTAAACTCACAGTTTGTTGTTGTTGTTGTTGTTTGAAGCAAAAACCTTTGCATACTATTAAAACATAAGCTGGTTGACAAAATATGGGGATTTTGAAACGTTAATATTGTATGCAACATATTTAACAAAACATAACTGTGTGCTCCTACTCCGTTCAGTAAGTAGTAGCCAGTGCATAGTGCAAACCGTGTGGGCCAACATGCATTAGGAAGAAGGAAAGTTATATCAAAATCTGACTCCCCTTTGCTTGCAACTGACAGCAAGAACAAAAGTACACTGTAAAAATGCTTTCCGTGCTTAGATTTTTTGTCTTGTTTCTAGCCCAAATATCTAAATTATTAATTATTAAATCAAGAATAATTTTATAGACAAATAAAACATAATCGCCTTCTTTTAAGAAATAATATGCCAAAATAAAGTGAGTTTTTCCTTAAAACAAGCAAAATAATCTGCCAATGGGGTAAGCAAATTAATCTTATGTCAAAAGGAAAAACAAGATTATTTTGCTTACCCCATTGGCAGATTATTTTACTTGTTTTATGGAAAACTCACCTAATATCGGCATATTATTTCTTAAAACAAGACGATATGTTTTGCTAACCTAGAAAATGCTTGTTGATGTAAGAATTTTTAGATATTTAGACTAGAAACAAGACAAAAAAATCTAACTAAGAAAAGCATTTTTTGCAGTGTAGAAGTGTAGTCTGATTGACAAGCAGCACCTAATTATGTTCAAAAGAATTTAAAATGCATAAATAGGACAAATTTATACCCTATTTTGAAAATAAAACATACTCTAATAGGTAGTGTAATATACACCACAATAAGGGCAGTGTGCGGGTGAGAGCGGTGGCAGTGTTTCGATGTGAGCAGGTTATGTAGTGGTTATGTGACTGCTTGAGTTAGTTGCTGTATGGTTAAACAATTATAACAGTAAAAGTAACTAGGTTATTTTGTTTTAATAAATTAAAGAAATAAAATATTAATCTAATATTTTGGGCGGTTTTTAGGCTGGAAAATGTCAGCTATATCTGGCAGCACTGACTAAAATATATCACAATATAGACATAACAAAATTGAGTTATCTTACAAACCGCAATTAATTACATTTGAAAAGCCATTTTACATACGTGTACAGCATGTTAAAACAAAGTGACAAAATCTGCACAACCTAGGATACGGTTTAAAGATTTACAACGAGTACATTTACATGGACACCAATAATCTGTTTTTAATACGATTAAGACAAAACTCTGATTAAGAGTGTCATGAAATGAAATTACATGAAAATTTGAAACGTGGATAGTGGTGATGCAATAACGTTAATCGATCTGTGCTATAACATGTAAAACAGGATCATGAAAGGGACATCCAAAAAGCAACTCATGTAAACACCATCATATTGTCCAATTCAGATCGAGGCAAATAATTCGATTACTGATGTCCATACAAACGTAGTCAATGACAGTTAATTAGTATTCTGTTGCTGAACTGTGATCCTTAAATGCGGTCTTTTATTATCTACAAAAACATCTATACAATATCTATAAACAACATTTTAGTTGATGTCTTCCATAAATCATGGAAAAAGATATGAAATGAAAAATCTGGAAATAATAATAATAATCAAACAGGACATTCTGATGTTCAATAACAAGAGAAACTGATCACCTGTTATTCTGTCATTTCCTTCATTGAAAGAGAACAGATTTGTTGTCCACTCCACACCAACTCCACTGTTCACCACACACAAACCTTTTGAAGAAATAAAGTTGAAAATCAAATTATTAGCCCTCGTCAAATTTTAATACTTTCAAATATTGCTGTTTAACAGAGAAATCTTTTTTTGTGTTATATTTTGTTTTATTTAACATTTTTTAGAAGATATTTAACAAAAACTGTACAATACCAATAAAAAGAAAACAAAAGAAAAAAATACAATACAAAATAATTGACATTAGCCCCCCCACCCCAAAAAAAACGCCAAAAAAACGGAGGGATAGTCTCAGTTACCAAATACACATAAATATATATACACATGACAGATGTAACAAACAAATAAAAAAAAAACATGACAGTATTCACATTTTTACAAAGTCAGTGTCATGAATATATGAGTTAGAGATGGAAATTTCCGAATGTAAAATGCTAGATTCCCAAGAGTGTTAAAATAGGTCCCCATGTGGTTTCAGCTTTTTTCTGTAAAGTTCAAATCGTAGTCGTTCCATTTGAATGACATAAAGCAGCTCATACAACCTTCTCTTAAAACAGGGAGCCTTTGGAGTCTTCCAATTAAGTAAGATCATCTTTTTAGCTGTAACCATGATGGAAAGGTTGATGGAAAGGTGTCCATTATGTTTAAATATCCAAACATAGCCAAATTGGATAGTGGTTCCATAAGCACTGGAAAAGAACTCAAAAATGCTGGACCAAAACTCATAAAGAACAGGACAAAACCAAAATAATAATGTCCCCTCTGCTCCACCACATCTGTCACATATAGGAGATATAGATTGAAAGATTTTACTTAATCTAGTTTTAGAGAAATGAAGGCGATGTAAAACTTTAAATTGAATTAATTCATGTCCCGAATTTATTAAAGCTTTTTTTATTCTCGACAGGGCTTCTTCCCAGTTCTCATCAGCCACTTCTTCATTTAACATCTCAAAACAATACCAACACTGAGACTTTTTAAAAAATCCCATGCTCGTCATCTGATGGTCAACTATCGCTGTAGCCACTGAGATAGTAGCCTGCTTTTTTTATTTTATATGTTTGGTGATTGTTTGTACTGTGTTGATGGATGAGATGTCAGTCTGTTTTTATGTTCTGCAGAGCAGGAACCTGCTGAAAAACAGCATTCATGCTGAGTCAGGCCCGATTATCTTTTAATCTTTTCCTGTTTAAAAATTATAAATAAATAAATAACAGAGAAATCATTTTTGAACACATTTTTAAACAATAGCTTTAATAAATAATTTCTCATAACTAATTTCTTTTGTCTTTGCCATTACGTCAGCACATACTATTTTACTAGTTATTTTTGCAAGATACAGCATTCAGCTTAGTGCAATTTAAGGACATTTCTTGGTTAACTGAGTAACTAGGCAAGTTAGGTTTATTAGACAAGTTATTGGAGAACATTGGTTTCTTCTGTAGCCAATCGAATAACACTGACATCAGCATTTGTAATATAAATATATATTAGAAATTAAAAAATATACAATGGGAAAGTCTGTAAAAATATCCTAGTTCTGTTATATTTGAGGGCGGCATGATGGCTCAGTGGTTAGAACTGTTGCCTCACAGCAAGAAGGTCACTGGTTTGAGTCCAAGCTGGACCAGTTGGCATTTCTGTGTGGAGTTTGCATGTTCTCCCAGTGTTAGAGTGGGTTTCCTCTGGGTTCCTCCAGTCCAAACACATGTGCTCTGGGTGAATTGGATGAACTAAATTGCCTGTAGTGTATGAGTATGTGTGAATGAGAGTGTATGGGTGTTATCCCAGTAACGAGTTGGGGCTGGAAGGGCATCCGCTGCGTAAAACATAAGCTGGAATAGTTGGCAGTTCATTCTGCTGTGGCAACCCTTGATAAATAAGGGATTAAGCCGAAGAAAAATCAATAAGTGAAGTTTATTTATAAACAAATTTCGAGAGGATCACGTGCTTATGATTGTTCACAGCTGTCCAGCTAATGACTGATTATCCTATCAGACGATCCTTAACTCACTATAAGTAACCAGACTTTTTTCATCTCAATATCTTCGTCTTGAAGAAACCCACCCACCCATCCAACCCTACTTTCCTTCCTTTCAAACAGGCGTCACGGTGGCCAGCGATTAGCGCTGTTGCCTCACAGCAAGAATGCCCCTGGTTTAATTCCTTTCCAAACCAGACAGCATTTCTGTGCGGAGTTTGCTCGTTCTCCCCGTGGTCGCGTGGGTTTTCCCCGGGTCCTCCGGTTTCTTCCCACAGTTCAAAAACAAGCACTCTAAACAATTAATCCAAATACTTTAGCTAAACTCTTGAGTACACCTGCAACGTCCATATCTGACACTTAGCTACAACAAGCAAGAGGGGGAGTCATCGAGATCTACCTGAGCTCAAACTCCCCTCTCGCCTTGCAACGGGAGGGAGCCCAGGGCTCGAGGATCTTATAAGCTCAGAGCTCTCTCCCAGGACAGCACGCCAAACTAGCTTTATTATCAATCATCAGCTTAGTGTGAACTCTTGAAATGAATGTTATATTTGACAAAGGGTTCATCATTTCAAAGAAGAGCTCATCATTTTGCCTTCAACGGTAGAATAAGGAGTACAGTATTATAGGTTTGGTTATGAAATATCACAATTACATATTGAGCTTTTATCTGCAGTACTTACAGCTCTGATAATCCTTCTGCAATATATCATTAAAGATATGAACAGGCAAGTTCATCACCTGCAAACAACACAAAATTACCACAATCACATCATATCTAATTCATATATGATTAATATAGTTGATATTTTTAACATAGAAAAATACCTTTATATGTGGCCTTCCGTCCTTTTTCTCCAGCTGGAGAGCGATCTCTTCAAGCTGCTTTATTGTAAGGCCTGGTTTGGACTTTTTAAGCAAGAGCTCCGGATGGTGAGCTTTCTGCCAACATGAAGACATTCATAAAACTTAAAGTACACATGAAATCCAATCATAACCAACCATATGATTTGATTTTGTTAGCTCACACTGCCAGTTTTGTAGTGAACAATTAATTCCTGCTTGTCTTTAAGAAAACAAGTGTTTGTTCCTGTTTGCTTCCAGTTAAATTCTCTGATTAGGTCAGTCTGAGATGATAGGCGTGGCTAACATGCCTAACCACTCCCCTGTCAGTTTTGAAACCAAATCGAAATGGTGAGCAGAAGGTGTCTAGACTGTAATAACTCTCCCTAAACCATTTTCCAGATCTTTCTGAATGAAATGCCTACTTTACTACATCCAATCAGCTTGCAGTAAAAAAACAAGCCACGCCCACTGTTTTCTCATTTAATATTCCATATCACAATACGAAAAAAACAAAACAGTCGCATGTTCTGGTTCATGCAAACTTTAGAGAGCTTACGCAAAATACATTTTTATATTCTTAATATTCTGTGTGAGCGGGAGGTTGCTGAGACTTATTTCAGTATGTTGATGTACTTCCAACAGAAACTGAATATTGATTAGGGGGCGGGGCTTTCTTTCTGGGCATTATTCACTCGTAGCAAACTAACAGTAGAAAGGGTGTGGTTAAGAATATTGTGCTAGTATAATATAGCCATGTTGAATATTTGAACTTGTTGAATAATATATAATATACTGAATATTCGAATAAAGCCATGTTGGCTAATCAGAAGCCTGACAACAGGAGACACCAGGCCACAATTTGATGTCAAACAAAGGAGAATATTCCATGCATGCTGATGACTTGAGGTGTAAAAAAAAAAAAACAGCCACACTGTTATTGGATTTACCATAGTTTTAACAACCTGGCAGAAGTTTCCAAAACATCTTGAGTTCATTCATAATAGGGATAAAGTACATCCAGGTGGTTGTTCTCGCAGAGTAAAGCCAGACAGGCTTATCGGCAGCCCCATGCAAAGCTAAGAGTTTTTTTCTACAAAAACAACCATCCTGGATGTACTTTATACCACTTATTACACATCTACTTGACACACAACATACAAATTTGACACAAAACATTGTTCTGAGCCATAATAGTTTATTAAATCTTTAATTAAATGCGAAGCTGTCAGAAACTAATGTGAAGCATGTGGAGCACACAATACAGGGGTGTCAAAATTAATTGTTTCTTCAGTGCACCGCAATGCAGACGCGGACAATTCGTCATCGGTTCAGTAATAATCATAATCGGTTATTATGTACTGAAGTAATCTATCACCTATGTTGCTGTAGCTTACTATGGCGAGGGGGGGAAAAGCGCGAGTATTTAAAATGCTGTCTTTCACTGACACTTACAGCAGAAGCCCCTATTTCACTACGATTGAGAAAATGAAAGTAAACTCAATTTCTCTCTCTCTCTCACTGTGCAGACGTCTTTCCATGTTGGCGCTTTGCTTTCGTGACCATCACCTAGCAACAGCCGTAAACAAAACAGTAGCTCGATGACGCAAGCGTACCGAGGTTTAGAAGGAAAAAAGACAGTGTGAACACAAACCAACCGAGAAGGCGGCTAGGAGGGACAATCAAACTTGGGTACAGTCCAGGCCATTGAACCAAGTGTGAAAGCACTCTAAAATACCACAAATGACTGAAAACCACAGATTATTATTATTGTTGTCATTTTTCCTCGTCTACAAGAATATGTAGTGATTTTCAGCGCTAGATTCATGTATGAACATGTATGCCCCTAAGCTGAAGTGGTTTTACAAAAATTGTAATTCAGAAGCTGACAAAGTCAAGGTTACGGGAACACTTACCAAGTAGTTTCTCTGGTGGTCAGGGTTAATCAGGTGCTTGATTATTTTTTTTCTCTTCCTTATCTTTACAGAACACACCTGGCACAGGTAAAAACACGGATGTGCATTCCCCAGCACGCACTGGCACTTAATAACAGCTTGCAGACCTGCGACAAACAAGCTCACAGACAGTTTGGTGCAGTGAATCTGAATCATCTTTTGTGTGTGATTTATTGTGCAGGAATAAAAAGCCTGTGGACACACTCACCTATAAGAGGCTTTTGACCACTGTGGTTGACATTAGCCACATCTGAGGTGCGTTGGGGAGTCTGAGAGAACTGGGCAATTGGGTTTTGTGACATCAGATATTTGTTTTCTTGTTCCACTGTAAATATAAAAGAAAATTAGACAAACCCTAAGATAATGCATCTGCACTTTTCAATGGCTTTAGACACTGCTCATTTTCCAGGACATATGAAAACATTTTAAACATGTTATCAGCACAAACACAAGTGTCATAGACAGTTTTTTTAAAGAAAAATAATGTATTTTTAATAATTAGGTAGCACAGATGTTGCTATAAAACACTCACCGGCCATTTTATTAGGTACACCTAACCTACTGCTTGTTAACGCGAATTTCTAATCAGCCAATCACATTGCAGCAACTTAATGCATTAAGGCATGTAGACATGGTCAAGACGATCTGCTGCAGTTAAAACTGAGCATCAGAATGGGGAAAAAAGGGGATTTAAGTGACTTTGAACGTGGCATGGTTGTTGGTGCCATACGGGCTGGTCTGAGTATTTCAGAAACTGCTGTTCTACTGGGATTTTCACGCAAAAGCATCTCAAGGGATTACATAGAATGGTGTGAATAGGAGAAAATATCTGAGCGGTAGTTCTGTGGGCGCAAATGCCCTGTTGATGCCAGATCAGAGGAGAATGGCCAGACTGGTTCCAGCTGATAGAAAGACAACTAACTCAGATAAGCACTCGTTACAACAGAGGTCTGCAGAAGAGCATTTCTGAACAGACATGTCCAACCTTGAGGCAGATGGGCTACAGCAGCAGAAGACCACACCGGGTGCCACTCCTGTCAGTTAAGAACAGGAAACTGAGGCTACAATTCACACAGGCTCACCGAAATTTGACAATAGAAGATTGGAAAAATGTTGCCTGGTCTGATGAGTCTCGATTTCTGCTGCGACATTCGGATGATTGGATCAGAATTTGACGTCAACAACATGAAAGAAGAATCCATCCTGCCTTGTATTAACAGTTCAGGCTAGTGGTGTAATGGTGTGGGGGATATTTTCTTGGCACACTTTGGCCCATTAGTACCAGTTGAGAATTGTCTCAATCCAATAGAGCACCTTTGGAATGTGATGGAACGGGAGATTCGCATCATTGATGTGCAGCCGACAAATCTGCAGCAACTGTGATTTCAATATGGACCATGAAGGATTAAGGCAGTTCTGAAGGCAAAAGGGGGTCCAACCCAGTACTAGTAAGGTGTACCTAATAAAGTGACCAGTGAGTTCATTTGCATATGCCAAATAACGATGCAACACTATTTCACGCATATCTTTTAAATTTCATTGTAATAATAATTATAAAAAAATATACAAAATTATACAAAAATATAATTCTATATTTATTACATGCAATAAAAATCTTTGACCATGCATTATATGCGGAAGAAAAATACAAAATAAGAGTCTCAAAAACAAAAGTCATTACCATGTGCTTCCCAACTGTTGTTGTTGATTGGCTCCTGTGAATACGCCTGATCATGTGACTGATTTGGATGCATTACAGCAGATTCCAACACACCAATACTGTGGGGCTTCATTAAACTGGTGGACTTCACATCACTGCGTGGCTCCAGACCATTACATGAGCTTTCCTTTCTCAAATATTCATAGGTTAAATCCTGGGCTATCTCTGGTACATTGTGGCTCACAGTATAAGATGGTGTTTGGTATGGAGTGGTTTGAGCTAAACGCAGCGCATGGGTTTCATAACCAACTCCAAATGACTGCATGACTGTGTTCCTGTTGTCTTCATCAGAACACACTATGTAGTTCCGGCAAGGAGGTCCGACTGGGCTCCAATGTGTTGGTGGTCTTACTGATGAAACTCTCCACACTTGAGTTAAACACTGGTTTTCGGATGACATGTATGTTTGAAAACTCTGGTTTCTGTGTGGTTGATCCTGACTTACGTGTTGGCTGATGAAACTTCCCAGAACAGGAATTCTTGATGAAACATGTGGATCCACAAGACTGTTATGTGTAGATTTTTTCTGGCATATGAGTAATGGTTTGACACTAGGGATCAACGCATTTGGTGCTGGCCTGGTTGAGACTGTCTGAGGTTCAACATCAGCTGGACATTTTGATGGTATAGTGGACACATAATGGGTTGGATACAAAGTGGAACGATGTCCATTCCCATCCACGTTCCCAGACATCTGCTGCCATTCAACTTTGGTTCCATTGCCTTTCATAAACACAAAGATGCATTCAAATAGATCAAACAAGTGTGCAATACTTAAAGTCTTCAACAGTATTATAATTGTTGCTTTAAGGATGTTGAAGCTAAATATAGGTAGGTCCATAAATATTTGAACAGACACAATTCTAACATTTTTGGTTCTATACAGCGACACAAGTGATTTGAAATAAAGTGAACAAGATGTGCTTTAACTGCAGACTGTCAGCTTTAATTTGAGGGTTTTTACATCCAAATCAGGTGAACGCTGTAGAAATTATAACAGTTTGCACATGTGCCTCCCACTTGTTAAGAGTCCAAAAGCAATTGGGCAGAATAATAATCATAAAAGCTTTAATACTTGGTTGCAGTCCTTTGCAGTCAATTACAGCCTGAAGTCTGGAATGCATAGACATCACCAGACGCTGGGTTTCATTCCTGCTGATGCTCTGCCAGGCCTCTACTGCAACTGTCTTCAGTTCCTGCTTGTTCTTGGGGCCTTTTCCCTTTAGTTTTGTCTTCAGCGAGTGAAATGCATGCTCAATCAGATTCAAATCAGGTGATTGACTAGGCCATGGCAAAACATTCCACTGCTTTCCCTTCAAAAACTCTTTGGTTCCTTTTGCAATATGCGTTAGGTCATGGTCCATCTGCTCTGTGAAGCACCATCCAATGAGTTCTGAAGCATTTGGCTAAATATGAGCAGAAAATATTGCCGGAAACACTTCAGAATTCATCCTGCTGCTTTTGTCAGCAGTCACATCAATCAATTAATACAAGAGAACCAGTTCCATTGGCAGCCATCCATGCCCACGCCATGTCACTACCACCACCATGCTTCACTGCATAGGATCATAAGGAGTTCCTTCCCCATACTCTTCCAATCACTCTGGTACTAGTTGATCTTGATCTCATCGGTCCATAGGATGTTGTTCCAGCACTGTGAAGGCTTTTTAGAACTCTTATCTGGCCTTTCTGTTTGAGGCTCACATCTTGTGGTGAACCCTCTGTATTCACTCTGTTGAAATCTTCTCTTGATTGTTGAGTTTGACACACATACAACTACCTACTAGAGAGTGTTCTTGATCTGGCCAACTGTTCTGAAGGGTTTATCTTCAACAGGAAAAGAATTCTTTGGTCATCCAAAACAGTTGTTTTTTTTATGCTCTTCCGTGTGTTTTGGTGTTGCTGAGGTCACTGGTGTGCTGTTTTCGTTTTTAAGAATGCTCCACACAGTTGTTTTGGCCACGTCTGATGCTTTTGCTATCTCCCTGATGGGTTTTGTTTTGTTTTTTCATTTTGATAGAGACGGCTCTTTGGATCTCATCTTGAGAATTAACAGTAACAGATTCCAAATGAAAATAGCACACTTGACATGAACTTTAGACCTTTTATCTGCTCATTGTAATTGGGATAATGAGGGAATAACACATCTGGCCATGGAACAGCTCAGAAGCAAATTATTCAATTGCTTTTGGACCCTTAACAAGTGGGAGGCACACATGCAAACTGTTGTAATTCCTACAGCGTTCACCTGATTTGAATGTAAATACCCTCAAATTGAAGCTAACAGTCTGCAGTTCAAGCACATTTTGTTAGTTTAATTTCAAATGCATTGTGTTAATATATAGAGTCAAGAGCATCGATGTCCCAATATTTATGGACATAACAAATGTATTTCAAGTATGTCATTCGCTATAATTACAAACTAACTAAACAAATGATCTTGAGAGTCTAAAAGCACTGTGATGAGGCATTTTATCATACTAATTTAACTTGATTGAAAAATCCAAAACATCCCTGAGTTTCTCAGCAGCAGAAATCATCACAGCTGGATAAACGTAGAGCGCAGTGAATGGGCGAGTACAACCTATATTTTTTTTTGCATTCCTGCTTGCTCAGATAATAAAAGAAAAACTGATTAATGATGTTTTCAAGACTTTCAGAAGAAGGAAAACATTTGTGTGAGACTGATAACGGCAGTCAGAACGAAAAACGAGGTCAAATTTACTGTCCCGCCCCCATAGATACTGCATTACAAACAACTCGCATAAGCTGTAATTCTTTCTCTTCTTGAGACAGTATCATTTCTCCAATGTAATGCAAATTGCAAGCTCGAGGCAAGGCTGTGTCTTGTACTGCATGAATGCCTGGGTGATACTTTCAGGTCGTTTAAGGCAGGTAAAACCTCAGAACCAGATCTTCAACTAAACTTGTCATGCCAGTTGTTTTGTTTCTACTAATAAGCCCTGCCACCTAAATTGTGTATTTAACTGAAAGCCTTGCTGCACTACTTCAGAATTTTTGACAATGAACACAGCAATGGTGAGTTCCCATTAAAGGGTTCTGCTTTGAAGATATCCAAAAGCCTCCTGGTCTTTCACGTCTTTACTTCACAACAGAATGAACTGGGTTTATCAATGGATCATTGAATCAATGACTCATCGTTGAAATAGTTCATTCACAAAGACTGTCACCTACTAACGCTCAAATTTGTGATTCAGTGTGGCGTGGTGGCTCAGTGGGTAGCACAACTGCCTCACAATTGTCAGTTAGCGTTTCTGTGTGGAGTTTGCATGTTCTCCTCATGTTGACGTGGGTTTCCAACGGGTGCTCCGGTTTCCCCCACAGACCAAACATATGCACTGTAGGTGAATTGAATAAGCTAAATTGGCTGTAGTGTATGAGTGTAAATGAGTGTGTGAATGCAAGAGTATATGGATGTTTTTTTCCTTCGGCTTAGTCCCTTTATTCATAAGGGGTCACCACAGTGGAATGAACCGCCAACTTATCCAGCATATGTTTTAAACAAGCAGATTCCCTACCAGCTGCAGCCCAGAACTGGAAAACATCCATACACACACATACACTACGGCCAATTTAGTTTATTTAAGTGACCTATAGTGCATCTGTTGGGACTGTGGGGCACCTGGAGGAAACCCATGCCAACATGGGGAGAAAATGCAAACAGAACAGAAATGCCAACTGATTTAGCTGGGACTCAAACCAGCGACTTTTTTGCTGTGAGGTGACAGTGCTAACTATTGAGCCACCGTGTCACCCCAACCCTGTGTCATTTCAGATCAAAAATAAATTAAATAATTAATTAAATAAAAAGTGCAGATTTAATAAACATAACTAAATTAGAATTTGCCAGGGGTATCAATAATTTTGGCCTTGACTGATATTCATTCATTTTCTTTTCGGCTTAGATTCTTTATTAATCTGGGGTCGACACAGATTTATATAGTATTAGATATAATATATACATATTCGTTATTAATATTGCACAGCCCTAATGGAGCAAAAATAGTCACATTAAACACACTGTAGTAATAATACCTTCTGATTGGCTCTGTTGAACTGTGTGTAAATCCCGTGCATTAGGCTTTGGTTGCTTCTTTATCTCTTTCATCTGAGCAAAAGCTACAAACATTGAGAAAAAGGATGTGTTGAGGGTTAAAATAGGCACACATGTCAGAAACTTCCTTAAATTCTAAATTTCATAAAGATACAAAATTGTGGCAGAAAAATGTGACGACATCAGATGTGAACAAACTTTTAGATCAATCACTTCCCTTCTGTTGTCACTCAGGATTAAAGGGTCATGACACCCCCCACTTTCGGTTCGGGTCTACCTCAGAATTTTTTTTTTTTTTTTTTAAAAGATGCATCATAATGGGCGTGGAGCTCGCGAGCAAAGGGCAGGAATGGGCAGAGCCAGCAGGGAAGAAGGATGGGAGCAAACAACTGTTGTCAGTTAGCTCACAAAATGAGACACAAACCGTGAGGAGATCCATGTTTTTATAGTTTACCAAGTTAAAATGCAAAGAAATAAACATTAATTTAATACCCTGGTACATTTGTTATTCATAATTTTATATACAGATAACCACAATTTATATCATTATAAAGATAATCCTGTTCATATAAACACTATAAATGAGGACTTTTCCCTCAATCTCCGGGTCTGCATGCAGACTCAGTGCAGCAGGTCTCTTTCCCTGTCTATTTTAACCATTAGTCCTGTTGGTAATCTAGAGGATTTAGACGAACACAACAGCACGGTGATGTGTCTAAGTGTGAACGAACTCCTGATAAAAGACAACGTCCGCCATTCTCCAATTCTTGTACTGTTCCCCCGACAAAAATGCTTGCTGGACACAAACAGCTTTGCTGTATTGGCCCTGACAGCATCGTGGGGAAAAACATGCAACAAACTCCGTGGATCATGGAAACAAACACATTACACCCTTCATGAACTGCTAACTACTGTGTGCTCTGGGTCTGTGTCTCACAGCTTGGCACTGGCAGGTCTGCCTTGCCTTCGGAAAGCACACGCAGTCATGAATAATTAAGAAGCCGTCTCTTCTCATAGGATAAGAAAACTCCGCTATGAATAATAATGAGAAACCGACGCGTCATCTTTGCACTTGCAGTTTTGCGCTACGTCGCCGATTTTGATCCGCCCCAAAAATCATTTTAAACCCGGAAGCAGAAATTAGCAGACAAAAGCTCAAAACTATCTAGTTTTTCCCACAATTAAAGCTAACAGGTGCTAACATTGTCTTAATTGATGCTCAACACAAACAAATCTGTTAACATCTCAAAAAAAGTACTCAAGGCTTTTGTGAACCTTTAAAGCGTCTACTTACTGTATATAAATATAACTGAATGAGTTTTTAGCTGAAACTCTTTCCCATAACTGTTGAATAAATGAACGCTGAAGACAAAACATCAAATATAAAAGACAGACCGTCAGGGAGAGGAGCTGAGGTGATCTCCTTGTAGACAACTTCATCCACACACAGAACCTTTCCAAGTGCAGAAAATATAAGGTTAGTTAGGAATATTAGAAAAACATGACATTGCAATGTTTTATTTTACTGCGATAAATATTGTGATATGAATAAATACAGTTTGACAAGATGAATAGCTCTATTTGGTAGTTTTCTGGGGAGTCTAACATTATTCAGGTACAATAAAAACAATGCAGAAGAACGCTCTGTCTCATTTCTAGTCCAAACATTGAAAAATACTTAGATTAAGTAAAAATATTGTATTATTTTCACCTACAGAAGAAATAACTTAAAATTAAGAGTTCTTTCTTAAAATAAGCTAAATGATCTGCCATTAGGGTGAGTAAAACAATCTTGTTTTTGCTTTGAAATGTAGAAATTAGGACTAGAAACGGGACAAAAGTTCTATTATTTTGCATAAATTGTATAAATTCTGAATACATAATTAAATGCAATTAATATTTGTTACACCCAAAAACATCATATTTTTTTGTGCTCAAATGTTTTAAACTTTTGAAATGCCTTAAAAACACTTGCAAATGATAAACCTTGGCTACATTATGATCAAACTTAGCAGTAAACCGCTTGTTATTTTTAACTATAATTCATACTAGGTCTGCACGATATTGCAAAAATCAGACATTTCTGCAATATGTATTGCGATGCGAATACAGTTTTACCAGGTGACTTAAACAAATTTAATAGGAAAAAAATCTTAATTTCAGATGAATTAAGGTGATTTTGTAGGGTATATATAATATTTTAAATCTTAAATAATATATAACAAATACATTTTAAGCATAGATAAATACCATATAGCAAAGATAAAAGTGAGTTATAGTTTCCTGGAGCGTCTAAGAGTATTGAGGTATAGATATTGAATAATCAACACTGCAATGTCTCATAATGTAATCTTCATGAAAGTAAAAACCTTATAATTTCTTTTAGCCTAATGATTTAAACTCTAAACTACTGAAATGTTCATACAACCACATGCCTTACAGGGATAGTTCATCCGAAAACGAACTGAATGATTTACTCATCCCTTCACTGGTTTAAAACATTTATGAGTTATCAAAATATATCTTTTTTGTGTTCAACATAAAAAAGAAACTCGTAAATGTTTGAAACAAGTGAACAGTGAAATGAAAATGGTGAGTAAAGTTACATTGGGGGAGCTATCTCTTTAAAAATGCATGCAGATAATAAACTTTTACTCTATTATGATTCAACTCTGCATAGGTTATAATCAACTGTATAATCCCAACTCAACATTGCTTATTCTGTAATGTGACTATTACAGATGCAAACATTGCGATATCGATGTTAAAACGATATAGTGTGCAACCCTAATTCAAACTCAACATTGCATATCTTGCGATGCGACTATTGCAGATCCGCACATTGCGTTATTGATGCTGAAACGATATACTGTGGAGCTCTAGTTAGGAAGGCTATGTTTTAACACTATTGTATACTATAAAGTCTCACCTGAATATCTCCTGTTCCCTCTTTCTTTTCAACCATTTTTGCAATTTCCATTAAATGGCGAGCCAGAAGAGTCAGGTCTGTGTCAGATCTCCATCCATGCTCATGAAGCGATTTCTGTTCAAAATAAATAAACACAAAAGAAAACTGATATAACTAGGATCAGCAGACATTAGGTTTGGTCAAAAATGTTTTAATGAGTTTAATTAATGATCACCAGAAGCCAATAGAAAAATCAAGTAATAATACAAATAAACAAGGTAAATATAGAGAAAGAAATCTGAGCCAAAATAAAAAAACTTACCATTTCAAAAGCTACAAAATGCAATATCGATGAAACTATTAGTATCTAGATAGTATAAAGAGTATATAGATTACTTGATAAAAAAAAAATTCTATATCAAAATCTGCTGAATTCTCATATTGAATGTTAATGTTTTACTATAGTATTGACAATTACTAAAAGAAAAACACCCTGTATAGAATGGTTAATATTCATATCTCTTAAAAATGCTATTAAAAGAATGATAATAAACACGGTTTCTGCATGTTTTATCAAGTCCGACTTAAGACTTTAAGACCATTATGAATGAAATCTTAGACTTATACAGAGCTAAACACTAATGGTTATTTCTAATGGCCTGGTTGGGCCAGTAGATGTTTTTTTTTTGCTTGCCACAAAAAAAATAAATAATTAAAATTATTTTTTAGCGACATACTTTAACGTGTCAAAACAAGTAAATCTCTAGTTGTATACACTATTTTTAACATTTTTTTTTTCAAAGTATATTTATTGTGGAGACAATTACATAAGTACTTATGTAAAAAATATATATTTGTTGGCTTTTGATCCAAATAGATGGAGTATAACTCCTATTCGTCCTATTGCAAAAAGTTAATAATAAAAACAATAATAATAATTTTTATTAATACTACAATAATAATAATAATAATAATAAATACTATAGAAATAATAATAATAACTGCATAACATATAAAATATATAATTTAAATATTCTAAGTAAACATATACTTTTGAAGGTTGGTTAAACTCAATTAAATAACAAATGCTAACATTTATATTTGAAATACATGTAAAACACATTTAAATAGATTACCTATAATAACAAAAAAGGGAATACTATATAATATAAAAATAATAATTACTGCATGAATGAATGAATAAATAAATACATTTAAATAAAATTATTTCAATGGGCCATTAGTAAAAAAAAGTTCATATTAATAATAATAAAAAGAAATACTATAATAATAATAATAATAATAATAATAATAATCCAAATTGACTGAGTATAACTCCTATTCAACCTATTCCATTTCTGTTATAAAACCTTAAGTTTCATGTCTATATATAAATTGTGTTTACTCGCCCTTATTTCTGTAAAAAGTTTTTGTATGAAAGGAATTGGGTAGCTTTACTTGGACAGAGGAAAATAAAGACCTGGTTAAAATGATTTTAGACACACAACAAATTTTTGAAATTTAAAACATTTAAGGCTTTTTAACACCCTGCGGATACCCTGATAAATAATAGATAATATATTAATTAATTTAATTCATTAATACTAATTTTAAGTATTGCTTCTGGGTGAGAATTAAAACAAATTTATTATAGTAAATCATATCATACATAATTAAGGCACTTAAATGTTTAAAAAAGTTACACGTAAGAGAAAATTAATACTATACTTTTATATTCAGATAAATGAAAATAAATTCATATACTAATATATTCATATAAACACATGAATTTATGAAAACAGTCACCTCAAAATCTCAAAAAAGCAATCTCTTACAGTGTAATTGTATTTGTGAATGCTGCCCATGATGTGGTTTCTAACGTCAGCCTTGGTTATTCTCAGAAAGCAAACATCACAGAAGTAAACTGCAGGATGTCTGTGTGTCAGCACCTCAGTGATGGAGTTTAGACCTGAAAAATTTACATCGGTTCAAATATACACACACATAAATCAGATGTTAGCGTAGTATTCAGATCTCTCTTACCAATGATGGGCTGTGCTCGGCTCTGATTGTCCAGATATGAACGCAAGGAGTTGTACAGGCGACTGTGCCCACCTAGAACACAACATGCCATATTTTTTTGGTCAAATTACGGCTGAATATTATAGAAAAATTAATGCAATATCTTGTTTTTTAGCGAAAAAAAACAATAGGAATTTAGATTAATTGGGTTCATTTTAGAAAGGTGTAAATCATGCATTAAACAGTTAAAATAATAAACAAATTGCTAGCAAAAATTACAACAGAGCGAAGAAAAAAGTGAAATAGCAGTGCTTTTAGGTTTTTCGGAGAGTCAAACAGAATTCAAGTACAGAAATCGAAATGTAAATTGAAATGTAAAAAACACTGTATAGTCTTCAATAATTCAGAATTAATAATTCAGTAAAATTATTCTTTGTTAAAGTTGCAAATGTTTGTGCTTGTATGCTTTAAATTCACTTGAAATGCCTTTAAAATACATACAAATGATAAAGTATCACTCTGTCATTGTTATACTTAGCAATAACACCACAAATCTCTTGCATTCTTGCATTCTACTATAATCCCTCAACATTGCAGATCCTGAGATAGGACTATTGCGGACAAACACATTGCAATATCCATGCTGAAACAACACATTGTGCACCCCTAGGTCAAATGTTATGTAGTTGGAGGAGTGCGAGTGTATTAGTCAGAGCAAACCTGCTGGGCAGCTGGAAGAAAGCATAACCGGAGTGCTGAAAAGACCACCAGAAACAACTAGAGGGCGAAAGAGAGAAGGAAAATAATAATCTTTAGATTAGCTAAGCTTTCATTATATACACAGGTATGTTCATAATAGCAGGTTAAGTTTAAAGTATGCAATATCTGACTTTTTAAAATAGCTAAAGACTTGGCCTTTTGTAGAATTAGAATTTTTGGTTGATAATATTATGATGCTAACCAATTACTTGCTTAAATGTAGGGTTTTTTTAACCCAACACTTTTTCAGAAAAAATTAAGGGTCTTCTTTAAATGGCTGATCTTTATGCATTATAAATATTTCTAAGTAATTTCTAAGATTCTAAGAGATAAATTAACTTAAGCAATCTTTTGAAGGTCATTTTTAAAGACTTGGGCCCCCTTTTGTTTTTGTACTGTATGAAATTAATCATTCCTATTTTTTTTTATCTGTATTTATAATTTATATTTGTTTATTAAGGTTTGATGTTATAAGTATTGTATTTTTTCTTCATGCTGCTGTAACTTTTAACTGTATTAAGGTTTTTAATACTATTGTTACTTAGTATATTGTTTGTTCTTTCAAGCAAAAAAAAAATTAGACAATATATAAATAATATACAAATAAGTTAATTAAATAATCCCCATATTCTTGCATAATAAAACAATAAATACATAAATATGCTTATAAATAAATATAGATTAAAAAAACACGAATTCCAGCATAAATTAATATAAAAGTAGTACGGGCAGATTATTCTTTAAATAAATTACGCTGATGTTGGGGAATAAGAAAATGCTGAACTGAAAATAGATTTTTCCCCCCTTTCAAACAGCACTTCTAATTATTTATATATTTATTTATGCAGGAATTAATAGTTAATAAATTATTAATAATTCCTGCATAAATATATAAATAATATACATACATATACACACACACACACACATACATACATACATACATACCCACACATTTACTTATTTATTTGCGTATTTATTTTTTTAATTATGCTGGAATTTGTGTATTTATTTATTAGTTTATTTATATGTGTATTTATTTAATACATTTTTTTGCAGATTTTGTCCTCCATACAAACTAGCATACTTATTGTTAGGACAAAAAGACTTACTCAAATTTACTTTGAGACAAAATATACATTATTTTTAAGGGTTTCTCGCTTTGTGTGTGAATAGCATATCAGGAAACGAGCCTTACATTTGGTTTTAGAGAGATATTTCAACCAAAAATAAACATTCTGTCATCATTTACTCTTCCTTCACTTGTTCAAAACCTATTTGAGTTTCTTTTTTTTGTTCAACACAAAAGAAGATATTTTTAAAAATGCTGGTTGCTGGGACCCATGTACTTCTAGTATTTTCTCCCTACTTCAGAAGTCAATGATTACCATCAACCAGCATTCATCAAACTACAGTATCTTCTTTTGTGTTTAACAGAAGAAAAATTGAGGGAGAGTAAACAATGAGGTTGTTTTCATTTTGGGGTGAACTTTTGGGGTGAATCTCTTTAATAAAACTTTTAGGTATTTGTTTTAATTGCAAACTTTATCTTTCTCACAAAAAGGAATCCCTGAAGGCAAAAAAGAGCTGATAACGATCAAGGCCTGTCATAAAACATGTAAATGGGGGGTCTGCTAGCTTTCACACCAAATAGACTAATCTTTTGCAGTCGTCCACGCCATTTACATACTGTGTACTTCACTTTAATCTAAAAATGTATTTTAATTCTTATATGAAGTGTAATTCAATATGTTGAAAACTAATTTGAGTTTATTTCTTGTTGAAACACAATAGAAGATATTTAGAAAAATGCTGGTTGCTGGGACCCATGTACTTCAAGTATTTTCTCCCTACTTCAGAAGTCAATGATTACCATCAACCAGCATTCTTCAAAATATCTTCTTTTGTGTTCAACAGAAAAAAGAAAAAAAAAAGAGTGAGTAAATTTAGGTAATTTAATTTTTGGGTGAACTCTCTTTAACAAAGCTAATCTAATGCTAAAAAACAAAGAAAGGTATTTGTTTTAATTGCAAACCTTATCTTTTACACAAAAGGGAATCCCTAAAAGCAAAAAAAGAGCCGATAAAGATCAGGGTCATAAAACGTGTAAATGAGGGGTCTGCTAGCTTTCACACACCATAGACTAATCTTTTGCAGTCGTCCACGCCATTACATACTGTGTACTACACTTTAATCTAAAATGTATTTTTTAACTATTATATGAAGTGTACTCTTATGTTCAAAACCAATTTGAGTTTCTTTCTTGTTGAACACAAAAGACGTTTAGAAAAATGCTGGTTGCTGCGACCCATGTACTTCTAGTATTTTCTCCCTACTTCAGAAATCAATGATTACCATCAACCAACATTCTTCAAAATATCTTCTTTTGTGTTCAACAGAAGAAGTAAAAATTGAGGAACAGTAAATGATGAAGCTGTTTTGTTTTGTTTGTTTTTTTGGGGTGAGCTTTCTTTTTAACAAAGCTGATCTAAGGCAAAAAACTATCAAATGTATTTGTTTTATTGCACAAAAGGGAATCCCTAAAAGCAAAAAAAGAGCTGATAAAGATCAGGGCCTGTATTAAAATGTGTAAATGGGGGGGTTTGCTAGCTTTCACACAACATGGGCTAATCCTTTGAGCGCAGTCGTCCACGGCATTTACATACTGTACGATACTTTAATCAAAGTTGTATATTTTAATAATTATATAAAGTGTATTTTCATCTTTAATAAATATTCATAGGGTGTGACAGTTCCTTTAACTGTTAGTGCTAAAAATATATCCGTGAACGCGGAATAAAGTCAAAAGCTAACATTTGTGATGCAACAGATACTGACAGATCGCAATCTTTGTTTTTATAACGTTACATGAAGATATATTAGCAGAAATTATCAAACATAATCGTCTCATTACGTTACGTGAAAAGAAAAGTATAACGACTTCGTAAATCCAGTACTACGTTACATCATTAAAAGCTTAATTTGTAGGCACAAATTGTATTAACTATCATTAACAGTTTAAATCTTAAATATTAAAGTAACATTAAACGAACACTATTAAATTAGCCACATGAGGGAACTGGGTTTTTTAAAAGGAGTTGGATAATAACGGTTAGCAAGTAACGTGAAAGTCATTAGACTGTTTGTGAAGCACGTGCGGCTATCTTGTCGATACATCCAGAGAACAAAACTAAACTCAACAATAACTAAACATTAAGACGTCGTTTGACAAAGAGTTAATATGATATTCTGCTTGCCTACCTGCACGCTTTTCTAGCTTCTGTGTGAATCGAAAGGCGAGTGTGCTGTTTTTAGAGGCGTGTTCATTTGAATATTCATTAAAACGTCACGACAGCTTCGTGTATATTCAAAAGCAAAACTTATTTCCTGTCATTCAGCTGAGAAAGGAGAAACGAAACTTAATTTCTCCACTTTTAAAAGCTAAAAATAACATAATTTACATGTGAACGTCGAAGTGTAATCACACTGCTCTTACAGAAGGATGCTTATTATCATACTTATTATTAGCATTGTACTTTAAGCTTGTTAAAGAGACAGTTCACCCAAAAATGAAAAGTTCCTCGAGTGATTCTAAACTTAGGCCTATATGAATTTCTTTCTTCAAAACGAGTATTATTTTGGGGTAAAAAGCACCATTGGGGTATATGCACACAGACTTTTAATTTCAGCCAGCCTCTGCCCTTCCGTTGAACTGTCTTTCCATTATAAAATCGCCATGTTAAAGGTCTGATTTCTTTAAAAATCAGTGATCTTCACCGCCTGATTGATATATGATATAAAGAGGATATCAGACTGGACAAGAAGCACTGCATTAGATTACATTTACCTCCGCCATGTCTTTAAAATATGACCTTTTACTTTACCTCATTATTTTCAATGGAGTTTCTCCTTACACGGTTGTTCATCTCGTTTTACGCTTGAATGACTAAATGAATGCTTAAGTCTATTTAACTGAATGTATTTACATTATAACATGCTGTAAAAGAAACCATATGAAATTGAAAATAGTCACATTAAGCTTTCACCGGAAGAAATTATTGGCTAAACACTAGCTGTGCATATAAACCATTGACATACATTATAGCACAGGTCTCAAATCCTGTTCCTGAAGGGCCGCAGCTCTGCATGATAAAGATTTTTATTTACTAAACCTATATGAAGACACATTTAATTGGGTGAGTGGAGGGCCCTATGAATCTGCCAATATATGTCTTTGAAAACAGGTGACAGGTTAAGGCAAAGGGGTCATTAGAGCGCTAGAGAGGACTTGGGGATGCAACGAGAACCATCTGTGTCAGAAAAGCATGAAATACAACAAATTGATGAGAACAGTGATATTTACACAGTCATATAATTCTAAAATTAATAGTATTCAATTCAATTCACCTGTATTTCTATAGCGCTTTTACAATGTAGATTGTGTCAAAGCAGCTTCACGTCAAAGATTATAGTTTATAATCTAGATAATAATAATAATATAGAGTTTAAGTTCAGTTTAGCTCAGTTTGATGAGGTTTAATAATCACTACTGAGAGTCCAAACACTGAAGAGCAAACCCATCAATGTGCAGCTCTACGAGTCCTGAACCATGCAAGCCAGTGGTGACAGCGGCAAGGAAAAATCTTCACCAATTGGCGAAAGTGAAGAATTAAAAAACCTCGAGAGAAACCAGGCTCAGTTGGGCACAACCATTTCTCATATGCCCAAATGTCTTGTGCAGAGCTGCAGTCTAGGCACTGAAGCCTGGAGAATGCTGGACATCAATGAGGACTTGTCTGTCCCTGGAGCGTCACAGGAATCAATCTCATGTTCTCCACTCCTCCAAGACTACCACAGCAGGATACGGCCTGGTCCAGGATTGTGGAAACCTTGGGATCATTTAGTCGCTGGTCTTGGATCACATCAGTGGCGCTGCATAATCTCTGGGGGCCTCAGGATGTGTATCCCCAGGTGGAAATAGAGAATAAAGAGGATAAGTAGCATAGCTGCTGTTCATATGTAAATGAGATGCAAAAAACCTGCGTGGAGCACATTCATGCATCATACCGCTATGTGTAGTAGTACTAGTAATAGCAACAATAGTGATACCAGAATTGAAAAAAAAATATTTAATCAAAATAACATATAACCCAATACATTGGGTTGAAATCAACCAAAGTTGGGAAGGTGCTATAATAAACTGTAGTTGGGTTATATGGTGGGTTATTTTTACCCCAACTATTTTAACAGAGTAGAAGGAAACTTTGGATCAAATGGAGGATGAGTAAAACAATGACAGGATTTCTATTTTGAGATGAACTGCCTCTTAGTATCGTAGGCCCATTTATTTCATGCATATTCTTATTATCACTCGTAGGCCCATTTATTTCATGCATATTCTTATTATCACGTTTCTGTTTTTGTTTCAAACAGGCCTAAATGTAGTATTTTTTTCCACAGAAATACGCAGCTCATAACACAAAATATTATTTTCAGAAACTGAAATTTGCTGTACTTTTCTGCTATTTCAAACTGGTGACAAAACCACAATTATTTCTTCGCCTGTCATATCTAGTATCCCAAAGGTCACGGTGACATGACCTCATTTTACCCCGTTCCACCATGGTAGAGAATACGTTCTGTTAAAGCTAACAATAATAAGCTCTATTTGTCCTTAACTCGTCAGACATAACATCTGTTGCAGACACAAGAACATTTTAATGCTTAAAAAACAATCAAACAACAGTCCAGGCCTCTTCAGTCACATAGTCCAAAAGGAGTGCAAAAAAAGTCCTTGTTCTCATCGCATTCACTTTAGAGGAAGTTGCAAGTGCTACAGCATATTTCTACTTTTTTTGCAATCCGGAAATAAGCTCTTTCCTGTGATCATCTAGGACAGGGGTGACAAACTTCAGAATTTTCTCTTTTGGTTGAACTATACTTTAAAATGAACTAGTAACCAGTAAATACAATCAGGGTTTGTTCAGCACGGTGGCGCAGTGGGTAGCACAATAGCCTTACAGCAAGAAGGTCGCTGATTTGAGCCCCGGCTGGGTCAGTTGGCATTTCTGTGTGGAGTTTGCATGTTCTCACCGTGTTTGCGTGGGTTATCTCTGGGTGCTCTGGTTTCCACTACAGTCCAAAAAACAAAAACAAAACACGTGGTATATTGGGTGAGCTAAATTGTCCGTAGTGTATGAGTGTGCATGGGTGTTTCTGCTTGTTTTTATGCAGCGGATGCCCTTCCAGCCGCAACCCAACTCTGGGAAACATCCACATACACTCATTCACACACACACACACACACACACACACACACACACTACGGACAATTTAGCCTACCCATTTCACCTGTACCGCATGTCTTTGAACTTAGCTCGAACTAGCGACCTTCTTGCTGTGAGGCGACAGCACTACCTACTGCGCCACTGCATCGCCTAAGTTGTATTATACTAAGCAATAATTAAGTTTGGATGAGACTGTGCTTTTTTATTTTCCCCACAGCTGTGTGAAGGGACTAGGAGATATCTGACGGCATTGAAAATCCGAAGTCTAACAGATGCTCATATTTTTTTCAAGCTCCACATCTCATCTTGTTTTTAAGCTACACACCAAAACAGAAGGGAGTAGAGGAGAAAGAGGGAGTGTACCTCATATAACCTTGAAATTCCTTCACCGCTATACAAGCTGAGAGTCATTTTTGCTGATGAACTGAGCAGCAAAACGGAGCATGCATGGTAACACAATCGCCAAACAGCAAGAAGGTTGCTGGTTTGAGCCCCAGCTGGGTCAGTTGGCATTTCTGTGTGAAGTTTGCATGTTCTCCCCTTGTGCCACCTCCGGGTGCTCTGGTTTCCCCAACAAGTCCAAAAAACATGTGGTATAGGTGAATTGGGTAAGCTAAATTGTACATAGTGTATGTGTGAGTGAGTGTGTATGGATGATGGGTTCCAGCTGAAAGGGTATCTGCTGTGTATAAAATATGCTGGATAAGTTGGCGGTTCATTCCGCTGTGGTGACCAAGACTAAGCTAAAAAGAAAATGAATGAATGAATGAGCAGCAAAACAACCTGTGCATGAAAATATACTATATACAGTCTAAAAAATATGGGGTTATTTTTTCTACCCAAATCTTGGCTTGAGGCATTTGGGTAATTTCGGGGGTTATTTTCAGAGTCCTAGGTAGTTTAAACCCAGCTCTTTGGGTCAAATCAACTCACAGCAGAGGGATGCTGACTGGGATACCACATATTATGGACTAATTTGTTTAAATGCAATGAAAATAGTGTAACATAAACGCAGATTCCTTGCATTTTCATATAATTAAAATGAGATTTATGCTCATAACAGATCTTTCAGAATTAAAAAATTTCTTTCTAGCACCTTTTATACACCTGTAATCAAAGCTGCACATCCCCCACCATACTTCAGTGATGCCAAGTCAAACCAACACAATTGCTGGGTCATCTTTTGAGAGGGGTCTGGCTGCAGACCTGGTGCTGTGCAATCTGGGCTGCATCCAATGCTTTTTAAAGGGCTCACCTAACCCCACCCCTAACCCTACCCGTCACAGTGATGTCACATGCTCCATTTGAGTGCATTCAGTCTCAGCTTGCATCATAAAGGCTGCATACGGATACTATTGCATCTTTTGCAGGCATTTATGTATCAAATCAAGCTATTATTTAAGTAAAAATAACCAATTATTGGGTAGAAAAACAACTCATTTATGGGGTTAAAAATAATCACCCAATAAAAAATAATCACCCAATTACTTGTGTTAATTTAACCCCTGATGTGTTCTGTCCCATATTTACCCAGCAGTAGGGTTAAAAACTACCCAATTTGGGTAGTTTTTAACCCTGTGTATGCTGCAAAAAATACTCTTCTTACTAGAATAAGAATAAGAAAATACTGTGTTTTTTTTGTCTTGTTTCTAGTCAAAATATCTAAACAATTTTAAATCAAGAAGCTTTTTCTAGACATTTAAATATATTATCTTGTTTTTAGAAATAATATGAAAATTAAGTGAGTTTATTCTTTAAATGAGCAAAATAACCTGCCAGTAGGATAAGCAAAATAATCTTATGTCAAACTGAAAACAAGATAATTTTGCTTACCCTCACTGGCAGGTAATTTAGCTTATTTTATGGAAAAACTTACTTAAATTTGACTTATGTCTGAAAACAAAACAATATTTTACCTGAAAATGCTAAATAAACAAAGCCTTTTTTGGTAAATATAGAATTTTTGAACCATATCTACTTGAATTAATCTTGTTTTCCAAATTGATTTATTCAGAACTGCTGAGTTTATATACATTATTTAAGACATATTAATTATTTCAGACATAAAAAGGGGCAGCACGATGGCGCAGTGCACAATCGCCTCACTGATTCGAACCCTGGCTGGGTTGGCATTTCTGTGTGGAGTTTGCATGTTCTCCTTGTGTGTGTGGGTTTCCTCTGGTTTCCCCCACAGTCCAAACACATGCGCTATAGTTGAATTGAATCAGCTAAATTGGCCATAGTGTATGTGTGTGCAAGAGTGTGTGGGTGTTTTCCAGTGTTGGGTTGCGGCTGGGATCCGCTGCGTAAAACATTTGCTGGATAAGCTGGCTGTTCATTCTGCTGTGGCGACCCCTGATCAATAAAGGGACTAAGCCGAAAACAAAATGAATGAAAGATTAAATTACATAAAATGAAAGTAATCACTTCAGTTTTTCAGCTAGTGGATAAATAACTTAAAGGTTCATGAAAAATGAATATTCTGTCGTCATTTACTCACACTTTACTCGTTCCTGTTGAACACAAAAAGATTTTCTTAGAAAACTGGAAACCTGTTTGTTTTTACTAAATAAGAAAGTTTTTTGGTGTTTAACAGAAAAAAGAAACTCATAAGTGTGTGAAAGCACATGTAAGTAAATTATGACAGAATTTTCATTTTTGGGTAAACCATCCTTTTAATAACAGTAACTAAATATTCATTTATTTATCTTTTTTCAGCTTAGTCCCTTTATTAATCTGGGGTCGCCACAGCGGAATGAACCGCCAACTTATCCAGCATATGTTTTATGCAGCGGATGCCCTTCCAGCCAATTTTAGCTTACCCAATTCACCTATAGCACATGTATTTGGACTTGGGGAAACCGGAGCACCACAATCACCTCAAAGCAAGAAGGTCACTGGTTCGAGCTCCTGCTGGGTCAGTTGGTATTCCCGCATGGAGTTTGCATGTTCTCCCCGTGTTGGCGTGGGTTTCCTTCGGGTGCTACGGTATCCAAAAGTCCAAAAACATGCGCTATAGGGGACTTAAATAAACTTAACAGGCTGTAGTGTATGTACAAGATTGTGTGGATGTTTCCCAATGTTCTGGTTTGCATCTGGAAGGACATCTGCTGCTTAAAAACATATGGTGGATAAGTTGGCGGTTCATTCCACTGTGGCGACCCCTGATGAATAAAGGAACCAAGTTGAAAAAAAAATTAATTAATGAAATACACAACACTGCAGCAGAAGCAGCAGCAGCAGAAGAAACAGAAGCAGCTGAACAGACCAATGTCACGTCTGTTAGCTAAAATCAGGAAACTGAAGCCAAAATAAACATTGATCTCACTAAAATTGTACAATAGATGACTGGCAAAAGGTTGCCTACGATGAAAGGGTCCATTTTGGTCTAAACAACATGAAAGCATGGGTCACTGCTGCTATAGTCAGTGCTACAATGCTCAGCAAAAATGAGTATGCCACTCACAGATCTCTCTTGTAAAATAATATTTTCTATATGAACGCTTACAACAATATACTTGAGCATGTACATTAGATTAGTCAGTACTAAAGACAAAGCCAGAACTAATCTAACAAAATAACTTAAAAGGCACATGCAATGGGTAGCACTATGGCCTCCCAGCTGGGACAGTTGGTATTTCTGTGTGGAGTTTGCATGTTCTCCCCGTATTAGCGTGGGTTTCTTCCGGGTGCTCCAGTTTCCCCCACAATTTAATAAACTAAATTGGCTGTACAGAATGTGCGTGAATGTGAGTGTTTTTCAGTGCACAATTGTGGTTGGAAGACATCCCTTGCTTAAAACATATGCTAGAATAGTTGGCGGTTTATTCCGCTGTGGGTTGCCTTGATAATTAAAGAGACTAAGCGGAAGGAAAATGAATAAATGAATGAATAAATGAATGAATGAATGAATGAAAAGAAAAAGATAGAGTTAGATACTTTTATAGATTGCATTCTACTGACACCTGCAGGGTTAATACTGTATAACATCCCACTTTATTGCTTCATTTTTCATAAAGAAATAATAACAAACTTATTGCGACATGACACCAAGTAATTAACTACAAAACACATAGCATTCAATAAAAGGGCATGCAATTATTCCAGATATGACATAGCTCAATGCTATTTGAAATAAATTAACAAGAGAAACTAAATAACCCAAACAGATAACACTCAAACATGAACAATCCACTGGTATATTTGTCTTTTCTTCTCATATTTCTCATACACACACACACACACACACACACACACACACACAATAGTTTCTGATAACTGAACCAAACAATAAAAATATTAAGGTTTAAAAGGGATAGTTCACTTTTTTATTTACACACCCTTTACTTGTCACAATCCTATTTTGAGTTTCTTTTTTATGTTAAACACAAAAGAAGATACTTTGAAAAATGTTGGAAACTGGTAACCATTGACTTCCATTTGTTTTCCTACTATGGAAGCCAATGGATTCCAACATTCTTCAAAATATCTTCTTTTTTGATCAACATAAACCACTTACAGGTGAGTAAATGGTTATTAAATGTAAATTTTTTGGTTGAACTATCCCTTTAAGACCAGCAAAATGAAAAAAAGTACAGACTTTTCGCCAATGCAACATTAATTTCTTCAAAAATATGCTTCATTTTATATTCTGTGCTACAATTGTTTCTCCAGTGCATTTCATTGAGGTTGATCACTGTAAAAGAGGATAAGAAAACATTATAAAACATATACATGCAAAATGAAGATATACACTGCATTATCAAACGACAAAACTGAACAAACATATCTTTAGATCACTCACATAGTTTCATAGGTGCTGTCCTTAGTTTTGAGGAAGCGCATTGCAAAAAATCCTCCAGCTTGCAACACCAGCACCAGGATGATTCCCCCAATGAAGCTGGACAGATCGAAGGATGCCTGGGAGAACTGAGGGCCTGGAGTCGTGTTATCTGTGTGTCAAACATGAGCATAAAAAGGCAAAGAATAATACTTAATATACAGTTGAAACTGAGAAGATACTATCAGAGGATCAACAACAGCCTAGAAGAAAAAATTGGGCACCCTTTCTACCTTCCATTTCTTAGTTGCATGCTTTGAGTATTTATTTATTTATTTTTATATATATTGAATTTTTTGTTTGTTTTTTTGTTTGCTTTCGGTTAAGTAAAATGTCTGGTAATGTTTGTACAATATGATTTGCTTTACATACATCTATAGTCAGAATTATTAGCCCCCTTTGAATTTTTTTTCTTTTTTTAAATATTTTCCAAATGATGTTTAACAGAGTAAGTAAATTTTCACAGTATGTCTGATAATATTTTTTCTTCTGGAGAAAGTCTTATTTGTTTTATTTCGGCTAGAATAAAAGCAGTTATTAATATTTTTAAACACCATTTTAAGGTCAAAATTATTAGCCCATTTAAGCTACAGTATATATTTTTTGATAATCTACAGAACAAACCATCATTATACATTATACTAGGGTAACAGCCTAGTTACCCTAATTAACCTAGTTAAGCCTTTAAATGTCACTTTAAGCTATATAGAAGTGTCTTGAAAAATATCTAGTAAAATATTATTTTCTGTCATCATGGCAAAGATAAAATAAATCAGTTATTAGAGATAAGTTATTAAAAGTATTATGTTTAGAAATGTGTTGAAAATTTTTTTAATCTCCGTTAAACATAAATTGGGGAAGAAATAAACAGGGGGGCTAATAATTCAGGGGGGCAAATAATTCTGACTTTAACTGTAAATTTGAAAATAAAATTGGATATTATAAAAATTATATGCAGTTGATATCAAAATTATCCTCCCTCTAGTAGAGTTTTAAATATTTTTAAAAGTTATAATAAATGAACATAATATTTTTCCAACACAACTAATTTCTAATGACAATTGTTTTGTATTTGCCAAGATGACTGTAAATAAACATTTTCTAGCTATTTTGTAAGATACTAGTAAGTGCAATTTGAAGGCTTAATTAGGTTAATTGGGGTAACTAGGCGAGTACAACAGTGGTTTGTTCTATAGCAATTTGAAAACAAACAATGTCTTAAGACGGCTAATAATATTGACCTTAAAAATTGTTTTAAAAATAAAAAACATGTTTATATCCAGCTAAACTAACAGAAATAAGACTTTATTCACAAGAAATAAAGGTAAATGTATAGATAAATATATAAGAAATACTGTAAAAATGTTTTGCTCTGTCAAACATCACTTGATGGGAAATATTTGAATTACTGTACAGTTGAAGTCAGATTTATTAAACACCCTGAATTATAAGCCCCTCTGTTTATTTTTTCCTCAATTTCTGTTTAACGGAGAGAAGATTTTTTCAACACATTTCAAAGCATAATAGTTTTAATAACGCATCTCTAATAACTGATTTATTTTATCTTTGCCATGATGACAGCACATAATATTTGACTAGATATTTTTCAAGACACTTCTATACAGCTTAAAGTGACATTTAAAGGCTTAACTAGGTAAATTAGGTTCACTAGGCAGGTTAGGATAATTAGGCAAGTTATTGTATAATGTTTGTTCTGTAGACAGTCAAAAGCAAATAGCTTAAGTGGGCTAATAATATTGTCCTTATAATTGTGTTTAAAAAATTAAAAACTGCTTTTATTTTAGCCTAAATAAAACAAATAAGACTTTTTCCAGAAGAAAGAATATTATCAGACATACTGTGAAAATGTCCTTGCTCTGTTAAACATAATTTGGGAAATATTTAAAAAAGAAAAAACAAAAAAACAAAAAACAAAAGGGGGCTAATAATCCTGACTACAACTATATAAAGAATAAAAAACGAATACAGTAAAAACTAAAGCCTCACCTGTGCCACCACTATCAGCAGATCCACCATCTACCACAATATAAACACATATAGGCTACTGTTAGCAATCAGGCTTACTCATTTGCAAATATACACACAGCTTATAGCCTACAAACTATATACATTTTTGCTCACTTTGGCACATGCCCGTTTCATTGTAGACAGAGCAGCCTCCATAGTCGTCAGTGTCAGACATACATCTTGTGTCATTTCCTGAAAAAAATTATATATCACATTTACATTCCATAGATATATATACACATATAACATATACCATAATTAAATAGTAAATATCTTTGTTAACTTTCAGCCACATTCACGTAGTACGCCAACGTTTGTGACACTTGATTCTGATTGGTCAATTGACCTTACATTAAGTTTAACACGGATGAAGACGAGGCTGCGGACTCGCGGAGGAAAAAACCTGGATCATGCGTATTTTGAAAAGACGTTTTACCATCTAAAACGATCTAAACATACGGTACGGTTGTTAAGAAACAATATAATTTATCGAACTGTACAATTCTCTATCATTCTGTTCCTCACAAAGTCATAAAAACGAAAGAAACACGACGCTAACATGGCGTCGACGGCTTCCGGCTGTAAAAATAGTCCGTCCTGTGTGCTACATTTTACATCCTATTTTTTATTTTATTATCTTGTTATAATAAAAACTTGTAGTTTGTTGAGCAAATACTTTCCTACCACAGAAGTAGCTATTACAATGTTAATTGTGACATTTAATCTTATAATTCTGACTTTTTGGATTTATTTTAGATGAATGAGATTGGAATTTAGGCTATGTTTACGTTACTTATCCTATTGTATAATGCTTTATAATAGTACAGTAACTATAGTACAATAGTGTATAATTGTACAGTAAGTATAGTACAATGGTGTATAGTAAGTGCATTTTAACAGAATAATAATGTTATACTGTTTTTGTGGGGCTTAAATGTCCCCATAAAAATAGTAAAATAAGACATTTATGACATACTTCGACCACACAAATGCAAGATCTTAATATAAAATGATTATAAATGATGAAAATGTAAATGTGAGTAACTGATAGTGAGTAAGAATTCAGTGTAGTATAGCTATTCACAACACTAAACTTACATATTCATTAATTCATTATAATAGGTCAATATAAGGAACAATCAGTAAAATATTAGATTTAGAGGCAGTTTTTGCACTATTATTCTTAGTTCATAAAGAACAATCATGTTAAATGTAAACTTTTAAGGACGACACTGCATGTGCATCAGTATATCTGTACAGTAGGTTTTAATAAGGAATAAAAATACTTTAACATAAATCTTATGATTTTTTTTTTCACAAAAATGTTACAGAAAGACATTCTCCCATCTACAATATGAAACTTTTTTTTTCTCCAATTTCACACAAAATATTTGTAATCACTTAAAAGTTCATTAAATTTACTTCATTTTAAAATAGAAATCAAATTATGCAAAAGTAGTGTAACGAGATCTGCTCAATGTTTGATTAGTTTTACAATACTTAAATGTCTGCATGAACACTTTGCATATGCAGGACTTTGCCAGCTCACGTGCGTAATGGAAAGCAAACGTTTAAAGCTGAGGCACTCTCCGAAATAAAGCTACAAGAGCGGTCACTGGGGTGTTACATTTTCAAAAGGTACAAATTTGTACCTAAAAGGTCCATATTAATACCTCAAGGATACATATTAGTACCTTAAAAGTACAAAAGTGTTCCTCTTAAAATTCTTAGGGACTAATATATACTGTTAAGGTGCCAATATGTACCTTTTAAGTACAAATGTGTACCTTTTGAAAAGGTACCACCCCAGTGACAGCTTGGTACGTTTATTTCTGAGAGTGTATCAATAATGAAACTGTATTCATCAGAAAATGCTTACCAAATGTTGATTAAAAATGCCCTTAAGTTTAGTTTACAATACCTATAGTTTTGATTTACCAGTTTCTTTGATTTACGAATTTCTTTAAACATATGCTCTTAAAATATTATTCATGTTTTAATATGGAAATTATCCATAAAATCACTTTGTCTTTCCAGTCATATTTATTTTCATAGATATTGTAATAAAGAAGGAGTTGTCCTACAGGTATGTACCTTATTTATGAGAACAATCGAGTACCTTCATTTTAATTGTACTATAAAAGGTACATAACAGTACCATAAGAGGTATTTTCTGTGCCATATGAGGTACAACTTTTACAAATGTACAAAACTGTTCCTTAAGAAACACAATTTGAACCACCGTCTACCTTTTTTTCTGAGAGTGTAGGGACATCAGTGACTTATTTTACAAGGTGCATAATAAGTCCCCCTTTAAAGAGCTATTGCCAGATTTAGCTGTATATGAAAACAAGCCTATAGAATGTCCCCATCTAAATGGTTGTGTTTGTGTAAAAATCGATGGGCACTGTCAGCATGCAAGTCTAGTTATATCTTAGAAATGGGTCTATGAGAGAGAGCGAGAGAGAGAGACCATGTTTCAGATTTGGTTACCTTGGCAACAGAGCATGAACAGACTAAAAGATGCTGCTTCTTGTTGAACATCTCTCTCTTCTCTCTTCATTCTCACACACACACTCATTTCCAGGAGGCTAGATAATGGTGTTGAATTATTTACTAACACTGATGTCTGTGTGGACGGCAGCTGTAACTGTGCGTGTGCCCGTGTTTGAATAATTCACCAGGTTGTTCCTGAGATCGCTCTCCATGGCTAGGATCACATGTCCATCAGTGGGATCCTCTGTATGTGTGTGTGTGTGTGAACAACATAGACATTGCACAGGAGAATACATCTAAACTAAATATAATACATGTGTTTTTTACCGTCATTACAGCTTTGCCAAACACATCGTGTCAGGTTGAGGGCCGGGTCTCCGCTGATGCAGGAATCACATGAGTTAAATTGAGAACAGTCTACAATGGGGGAACCTGTCAATCCGTCAGGAGATAAAAGACGTAAGGTTATATTCTCAGCAGCTCACATTACACTTCATATGTTTAGGTTTAAGAGAGAAACTGTCGAAAGACTAATAATTAGAGTAAAGATGAATCATAATGTAACAGAGAAAAATGAGATTATAATGAATTGATAGAGTATAAAGTAAATTGTCTTTCAACTGCGGAAGAACCAACACATTTCAGATCATCAAAACCTTTTCTCAAGCTCAGTGACTCTAAAATTGTCCATTTCTCAGAATGAATCCCAAACTGACCAAGAAACTCTTTAATTGGCAGAAATTTAGTGTTAAAAATACAGTAGAAACATTGCTAAATACACAGCAAGCTACCGCATTTCATTATTCATTAATTTTCCTTCGGCTCTTTCCTTTATTTATCAGGGGTCGCCACATCGGAATGAACCGGCAGCTATTCCAGCAAATGTTTTACACAGCGGATGCCTTTCCAGCTGCAACCCAGTACTGGGAAATATTTCATTATTTTATAAAAGGTTAATGCACCAAGTTTTGAAGTATTATGAGATATTAGTATTAGTACTAAAATAAAGCACCACCAAAAGTACATATGATGAACTAAACTGTTAGTATTACTATTTATTTTTATGTTTTATATTCATGAAATCAACAAAAATCATCAAAATATGCAATTTGTTATATGTAATGAAATTATTCATTATAGATTATCTAATAGATATCAGATAATTCAGGGAAAAAATATCAAACTAAGGTTAAATTAGCTTAATGTGAAATCTATTTAAGTTTCCCAGTGATGGGTTGCAGCTGGAAGGGCATCCGCTGCTTAAAACATATGCTGGATAAGTTGGCAGTTCATTCCGCTGTGGCAACCCCAGATTAATAAAGGGACTAAGCTGAAAAGAAAATGAATGTATGAATGAAATCTATTTAAAACAATTTACATTTACTAAAGTGTCTTTCAGTGTAACAGTGTATACCAACAAATAATGTCAGGCATGTTTATAATAAAAAACATTTGATAACTTATAAAAACAACCTTTGAAGGATCCTAAAATAACTATTTAATAACTTTATCTGTTAAAGCCATTACTTACTAGTTAATTATTTGAAGTTATTAGTAACTAATAAAGTTATGGTACCTAATAACCTTTACTTTTCCCAATTTAATTGTAATGCAATAACTTGCACCTTTTTTGAAGCTGCTTTGAAACAATAATTATTGTGAATAGCGCTATATAAATGAACTTGAACAAATAAACTTGTAAAGTGATGTCATTTAAAAATTTTTATACATTGCCACTCCTCTTTAAACCACTCGGTTTTACCCATTTGGCAACAAGATATTTTTTGATCCCTTAAAATATAATGACATTAAACATGATCTTTTAATACAGCTCAGAATAAGCTGTTGCACTGATACTTAACTGTGGTTTGTGAATTGGACATTATAACCTACATTAGCAGTATATACCAACAATTATTAACTGGAATATTTATATATAAAAAACATTTGATAACATAATAAACAAAATTTTTTTAAGGATCATTGTGCATTCCTAAAATAACTATAAAATAACATTAACTGTTAAGAGCTATTAGTTACTAGTTAATTAATTGAAGTCATTAATAACTAATAAAGTTAACTATTAATCTTCACTATTCCCAATCTGATTGTAATGCAATAAAGTGCACCTTTTGCAAAGCTGCTTTAAAACAATAGTAATTGTGAAAAGCGCTGTACAAATAAACTAGAATGAATAAATTTAAATAAAACTTTATGTAATTTAAAATATTTTATACATTGCCACTTTATCTGCAAACCAATCAGTTTAACCCATTTGTCAACAAGATATTTTTTGTTCCCTTAAAATATAACAACACTTAATATGATCTTTTTATACAGCTCAGAATAAGCTAACTGTTGCCTTGAGACTAACATGTGGTCTGTGAATTGGTTTAAATAACCTGCATTAGCAGTAAATACCAAACAATATTGTCAGGCATATTTTAACAAAAAACATTTGATAACATTAAAATACCTTTTACTGTGCAGTCCTGAAATATTAAGTAATGTCATTTTATATATTTAATGCATTGCCACTTTATCTACAAACTACTCGTTTTTACCCATTTGTCAAAAAATAAAATTTTTGATCTCTAATATAATATAATAACACTTTATATGATCTTTTAATTCAGTTAATAACCTAACCGTTGCACTGATACTTATTTGTGGTCTGTGAATTAGTCTAAATTCTGTGAATTAGTCTAAATTCTGTGAATTAGTCTAAATTCACAGCCTCAATTCATAAAAATATTGTCAGGCATATTATAACAAAACCCATTTGATAACATATTAAACAACCTTTGTAACATCGCTGTGCAGTCCTAAAATATAAAGTAATTTCATTTTAAATATTTTATGCATTGCCACCTCTCTTTAAACCACTCGGTTTTACCCATTGATCCCTCATAAAATTATTAACATTTAACATGATCATTTAATACAGCTCAGAATAAGTGAACTGTTGCACTGATACGTATCTGTGGTCTGTGAATTGGTCATAATAACCTGCATTTGATACATATAACAACAAGTATTGTAATATATATTTACTGTTTAACAAAAAACATTTAATAACATATTAAAGACACTTTCAGGGTCACTGTGCAGTCCAAAAATATTAAGTAATGTCATTTTAAATATTTTATGCATTGCCACTTTATCTGCAAACCACTCAGTTTTACTCATTTGTCAAAAAAGACCATTTTTGATCCCTCATATAATATAATAACACTTAATATGATCTTTTTATTAAGTTCAGAGTAAGCTAACTGTTGCACTGATACCTATCCGTGGCCTTTGAATTAGTCATAATAACCTGCGTTAGCAGTTTATATCAACAAATATCAGACATATTTAGAATAAAAATAATTTGATAAATATTATAAGACCTTTGAAGCGACACTGTGCAGCCCTAAAATATTAAGTAATGTAATTTTAAATATTTTATGCATTGCCACTTTATCTGCAAATCACTCTGTGTTACCCATTGATCCCTAATATAATATAATAACACTTAATATGATCTTTTAATACAGCTCAGAATAAGCTAACTGTTGCACTGATACCTATCCATGGTCTGTGAATTGGTTAGAATAACCTGCATTAGCAGTATATACCAACAAATATTGTCAGGCATATTTATAACAAAAACAATTTGATAACATTATAAGACCTTTGAAGCGTCACTGTGCAGTCCTAAAATATTAAGTAATGTCATTTTAAATGTTTTATGCATTGCCACTTTTCTGGAAACCACACAGTTTTTACCCATTTGTCAAAAAAGACCGTTTTTGATATCCTTAAATTATAATATGATCTTTTAATACAGCTCAGAATAAGCTAACTGTTGCACTGATACTTACCCGTGGTCTGTGAATTGGTCATAACAACCTGCATTAGCAGCGCAATCCCACAAAGTGCGGCCCACACACACCTCATCCTCAAACAATCGACAGTAAATCCCACCTATAATGAACACAAACTGTGAGCGCAATGCATGAAGCTCCTCATTCAGATTCAAATTTGTATCCTGAGTTAAATAATATAAAAAAAGAAAGAGTCTAGACTTCTGAATCTGCCAGGGTAAACACTGACCACTAGATGTCAACAAGTTGAGAAAGAACTAAAAGAAACACACAAATAAAGAAAGCTGAAACTAAAAATTAAAGAGTAAAAGTCATGAACGCACACGTGCCTGTCAAGCTGACATCCAGTCCTAAATGTCTTTGTCCTCCAGACGAAAGGTCGTTGTGAACTGTCAACTGTGTGTGTGTGTGTGTGTGGGTTGACGTCATGCTCTCTGATTCAGGGAGACTGGAAGGTGTGTAATGTGAGACAGGTAACTTGGCAACCAAATGGCTAATGACCATGTCTTGATATCCACACCACCGAACATATTCTGCTGTTTCACAGGCTGACTGCAGAAATTTGTCAAAACTGTCATCAGCATGTCTGTATTGGATCTTTTGACCCTTTTTTCTGATTGTATATCTCCCTGGTGGTTTAGAAACGTCTTTGAGACAAAAAACAAAACAAAAAAACATATGGTGTTGATTCCATACAGTATATTATAGGTCAAAGATGATTAGAGGTTTTCAAGCATCAAAACGATGAAATTTAATATAGCTTTTGCTTCTTTTCATGGTTATTTTATTTTAGATTTTTATTTATTTCATTTTTTATTTTATTTTATATAATTTTAATATATTTATATTATTTTTAAACAATTTTATTTAAAATTTATTTTATTTGATATTTATTTTATTTTATTTTTGCTTCGTTCATTTTTTTTTCGGCTTAGTCCCTTTATTAATCCGCCACAGCGGAATGAACCACTAACTTATTCAGCATATGTTTTACGCCACACATACTCATTCACACACATACACTATGGACAATTTTAGCTTAATTCACCTAAACCACGTGTTTTTGGACTTGTGGGGGAAACTGGAGCACCTGGAGGAAACCCATGACAACACGGGGAGATTTATTTTATTATTTTTTATTTTATTTTATTTTTATTGTCTTTTATTTTTTATTTTATTTTATTATTCTTATTTTATTTTATTTTGCTCTTTTTTATTTCATTTTGTTTTATTCTTTTTTATTTAATTTTTAATTTAATTTTATTTTATTTTTACCCCGATCTTTTTTACTCACTGAAATGTATACATGTTGGTTATACTTAAGTTCACTGTACCAATAGTTAATATACCAAAACTCTTGTTACATGTTCATTTAGTTATTTTAATAAGGACAGATCATAAAAGCATGTTCTTTCAATTAACATAATTACATCATATTAAATTATGAACAGTAATTTTAATTCGTCATTTTCACAAATACATTTTGAAACCTCAAAGTATTGACATAAGTTACATTTAAAATGCTTCTATTTTATTTGATGCAGACACTAAAAAAGAACATTTTGTCCCTGACCTGTTTTTTAATATATCTTTTTTTCAAATTTGGTTGAACTTAAGTTCAAGTACCAATTTACACTGTTTACTACTTGCTTGTTACCTGCCTAAAATTAAGAAATTAGGTTTATAAGTAATAGCATCAAAGTATATAAAGCATCAAAAATCAGGAAAAACACAAAATCTATAAAATTGTGTTGAATTTTTGTAGTTTGTCATTTATTTTTGCAATATTTTGCATGAATTTAAATGTATTATCTAAAGACTTTTGCTGCCTTTTCATTTTCAATTGAAACAACACATTTTTTTAAGTTTCGAGGTACAACCTAATTGTTTTATATTCAATCCGCTTAAATTTGTGAAAACTATTAAGTTAACTTAATCCATTTGTGTTTTGACAACATGAAGGAATTGTGTAGTACCCAGGATTTTTTACACTGGCTTTCTAATGATATCCAGTTACTAAAATGCTATTGCAATAAATTTATCAGTTTAATAATTCTGTTTTGTTCAAATGCACCAGAATATACTGCTAAAAAATAAATAAATAAATAAATAAAGGGAACGCTTGGAGTTACATTGTGTTGTTTAGGTGTTCCCTTTATTTTTCGAGCAGTATATATTACCAATATTCACTTAGAAATTGATAAAAATATTCACATTCATACTGAGAGCACTGTATGTTGGCATTTAGAGGCTTCAGCTAACACTCAAAAAAAAAAAAAAATCTGCCATATGGAAGAACAGGGTCAGAGAGAGAGAGAGAGACTGATACTTATATAACATCTTCACCTTCAATGTCCCTCAAGTCATCCGCATCTTCACCGTCCTCCAAAACCCTTTTAACAGTAATCAAAAATGACAACATGAGCTGAACAGCGGAGGTGATGATGATGATGATTATATAGTGAATGTGTACGAATAGGTGTAGGAGTCCATATGCCTGCGTACTGTAGGAGGACGTAGTCACTGCTATCACATCATTTTTTTGACACATCTGGGAAATCTCTGCATTTGTTTTCACACTGCCTTCCCACAGATCACTTAAAACCCACAGAGAATCTCCCTAACCCACACCATCACCCCTCAAACGGTTTTGTAATGTCTCACGACGCACAGACGGATCAATAGGTTGTGCCAAAGCGCATGAATAGACAGAGAGTGGGCGGTTATTTTCTCCAGGGAGGACTAGGTGCAGAGAGATAAAGCCGCGCATGCGCTCTGAAGGCATTAGGTAACGGGGAGAAATTCCGCAGTAGACACACACACATTCACACACACTCACGCAGACAGACTTCCCGCCAAAAATGAGCACAAGGAGATACAACAGTGGAATGCTAAACAGTGTCTGTGCTCTTATTATTTTCAGAAAGAAGATACTTACAGGACATACAGTACATAATGGATATGACAGAAAGAGACTGTATTTTTTTCTGTGCTCTTATTTCTTAAATAATTAGGATTTTTAAATGATTCTTATGTTGACATGCTCAGAAAATAAGAAGAGTTAAATTTTAGTTTAATTAGTTTAAATGAGCTGCTGCTGTAGATTCGTTTGGTGTTGGAGACACATAATGTGCATCAGGACTGTGATGTTTTATTATATAATAGGGATGTAACGGTATCAAAATTTCACGATACGGTAATACCTCGGTATGAATGGCACGGTACGGTATTTATTGAATTATTTAAAGGAAAAACAAAACTATTGAAGAGACTCAAAAAAAGTGCTAGAATGTTCAGGTTACCTCAACACTGAACAGATCAATGACATTCAAACAGGAACTTAAATTATTCAATTTTAATAACAAAAATTATTAAACCATGTAAAAAAAAACACCACTCGAAAGGACAAGCCATGAGTGAGATAGAGGTCTCTTGGTGGTACAAGTCAATGTCTCCATCAATCTGAGCAGTGTGCTGTGTTCTGCTGTCCTCTTGACTAAAAGAATCCCCATCATGTTAGTCGTATTCCCAGATTTGTATTTCAGCACAGTCTGGCAGTGCCTGCATTCCCTTTTTTCTGTCACCTTTTCTTCTTTCTTGTTTCTTTTCAGAGAGAAACTGAAATGCTTCCACACATCTGATTTAAAACCCGCTGTAGGTTCGACCATTTTTAGCTCTTTTTCTTTGCTACTACTAGCAGCACACTCAGTGGCGCCCCCAGAAAATTTTCTTAGGGGTGGCCAGAAGAGGCCGCACCAAATCTTGGGGTGGCACACAAAAAAATTATGAATTCAGTGTAATGTTATATTTTTGTTTCTGGTAAATGAAATAATGTAGTTTTTATTCATTTAATTAATTCTTCGTGAAATATTGCTATTTATTCCTTAAAATAATTCAACAAGTACATGTGCAAACCAAATAAAAATCTATGTTTAGTTTAAAAACACTTTTCACATACTGTATAAATAACTTCTTTTTTTACGTGCCTTTATTGTACAGCATACGGTATATGCTATGTTTAAAATTAATGAAGATTAATGAGTTTATTATTCCCAGTGATGGGTTGCAGCTGGAAGGGCATCCGCTGTGTAAAAATGTGCTAGATAAGTTGGCGGTTCATTCTGCTGTGGTGACCCTGGATTAATAAAGGGACTAAGCCAAAAAGAAAATGAATGAAAGAATAATGAGTTTATTAATAACCCAAACAAATGAACAAACTGAATGAAAGGCATTACTATATACACACTCACTATACCTAATAATATTATTTATCCATATTGCTTTTTGAGCCATTTAATGCAGCTTCTTCTATTGATATACTGTAGCTTAAGGTAAATATTAAATAGCCATTGCTGTCTTTTGAAGGTGTGTGCGTGTTGTCAACGACGATCAGGGAGGGTAGTGGTGGTTCTAGTTTAAATGAAACCCTGGCCGAACCACCCTATACACCCCCCACCTCTTTTGAATTGTTAGATTTGTTATTCAATAAATATAACAATTTATTTATATTTATTCTAAATAAATACAATTAATATTATTATACAATTATTATTCTAAATAAATAACAGAAATCAATCCTAAATATTACTGGAAAACAACAACAGGAGTGATATGCCATGATCACTTAAGAAACCTTTTGCATGAAAATTAATTATGACAATTCTAAAGAATACAAAAAATGTATTATAGAATTATCTGTGGTCTTAGACCAGATCATGGCTGAGAAATCATGTTATGAAGTCTTACCTCGCTGACTCATTTTCCCTCCTTTCTGCTTTAAAGGCATGCTTAGTGAAAGTAACATCATCGTCATCATCATATTATATAAACTTTAGTCGACTTTCAAAACTCGCTGCGTGCCGACACTTCTGCACAAAAGGCTGTTGCTTCAGTTTCACGGCGCATGAGCGGTGCCTATTTTGTCGGCGTGCATGCAAACAACCAACCGGGATTCACACAGGAGTGCGTGAGGCGCGCGGGAATGGTTTTCTGCGCGCATGCGTCAGTTTGCTTTCACCAGCATTGAACCAGAGGGGGAGAGCTACGTCAGTAACACCAACAACAATTTAGTGATTGCATTTTAATTATTTATTTATTTAAATATTGGAAATTTATAAGTTCATTTAAATCAATAATGTCAACAGCAAAATTACATTGGGGTGGCCAAAGGGGTGGCCACAGGGGTGGCCAGAGTTTACCGAGGGGTGGCCGTGGCCACCCCTGGCCACCCCTTGGGGGCGCCCCTGAGCACACTCCATTTCTGCATTACTGGATCTGTAGCGTAAACAGACCGCAAAGGATGATGGCCACGCCTGGGCTGATGAAAATTGTAGTTTCCGCTGCCTCCCATTCGCTCCATTCGCCTGAGCAAACTTTTCACCAAAAGACCTATGATTTTATTGAGTCACAACCACGGTAATATT